AATTGGTATGATGAAACTGGTGTGTATATTGAGAGAAAATGAAGTGTATTATGGCACATAATCTTTATCGTGCATGCATGGTATAAAAGATGTATATTTAGGATATCTAGCGCTGTTCCTGCATCTCAGTTAAAGAAGAAATGTTTTCGTACCGATGCTTCCCAAATGTTGCTTCGCCAAATCTAATATTTCAGTAATAAAAGCAACAGTTTTAATATCAGTTATATAGCAGTTAATATACATTTAATCTTTATGAATGCATACCACAGAACCACGGCAATTCATCACTACCATCAGAGCAATCTCTAACGCCATCACACACCGAACTGAACGGAAAACATCCGTAGCCAGTACCGCATTTGAAGTTTCCGTGTGGGCAATCTGAGACGTACACCGCTTTGGATGATGAAGCCGCTGTGTATATTGAGAGAAAATGAAGCGTATTATGTCACATATGCTATATACTACTAATAATAATAATAAAAACTGAATTACACGGTATAAACTACAAAATAAGACAATATGTATATAGCAACTAACTATTATTTAAAGGTAATAAAACTTCTACAACGATCAGTACGTGTTTGCGAAAATCTTAGGAACATTGTCAAATCTTAAGTTAGCTATAATTGTGATTACTAGGAATATTAAAATAATTGCTGAAAATTTGTTCAAGTGGATTATTACGTGACTGAGTTCGTATTCGTTTAGCGAATTTTTTACAGTGATTAGATCTTCTAATATGTAAATGTTCTAAGTCTGCATAATAACTTCAAGGCGTCTTCATAGGACAAAAGGGGTGAATATTATCCGTAAGACCTGCTTCTGGATGGACTCTACCATATTAGAAAGGCCGTGAGACAAATTTGACCAACGGCCATTTTTCGGCGAACTCGACCATGGAAGAATACGCCATTTTCCAGCAAATATGACCATGGTCGTATTTGCCATTTTCCGACGAATATGACCATGGTCGTATTTGCCATTTTCCGGCGGACTCGACCATGGTCTAATACGCCATTTTCCGGCGAACTCGACCAAGGGCCCCAGAAAAAAGTTTTGCCCCGGGCCCTACAATTTCTCTCGGCGGCCTGCGGACAGCAGCTTTAATTTCCTTCCACCATCTTCCAGGGTTTGCATTTTTAAGCTTATAAACCGAGTGGTGGTAGAATTTAGCACATGCTGTTTTAATGTCCCATTGAACTTTATTACGCCAGAATTTGTAGGCTTGCATGGGATGATTTACCATACTTATGTAAGGCACGTTGGCGTTTGTTTATTTAAATTTTCAAGGCAGATGACATCCAGGGTCTATCACATTTCCTGACTATATATAAGTAGGATATCTAGCGCTGTCGTCTCTGCATCTCAGTTAAATAAGAAATGTTTTCTTACCGCGGTACGAACTTCCCAAAGGTTGGTTCGCAAAATCTAATATGTCAGTAATATAGCGGTTATACATTTTATCTTTATTAATGCTTACCACAGTTCAACGACCATTCGTCACTACCATCAGAGCAATCGTCATACCCATCACACAACCAACTGGACGGAACACATTCGTGACCATTATGGCATCTGAATTCTCCGTAATGGCAAACTGAGAGTTGAGATGATGAAGCTGGTGTGTATATTGAGAGAAAATGAAGTGTATTATGCCACTTATACTCTCTATCGTTTACATGCATGGCATAAAAGATATATAAACTAGAATATATTATTGTCAATAGAATATAATATAAGTAAAAGTTCCCCAACCATCAATTTTACCTTATTAACCATTCAAAATTCAAAAAATCTCGACTTTTTAAACTAAGAGCCTTCGTCGGGACATATGGTATAAATAGTATGGTTAAACTTTATTTGAACACCCTGGTTTTGATCAGCTAATGTACTGCGTGCTTTGAATGAGGGGCGTCGCACAAGTTAAACTATATATGTAGAAGTTTACTTTAAAATACACTAAAATACAAGAGAAGAAAGAGTTTTATTTAAAGAGAAGAAAGAATTCGAAATATTTAGAATCGTCAGAGAGACTATCATGCCTGGCCCTCACTGTATATCGAAAACCTTTCTTACGAAAATCACTATTAGGTTTAAGTATAAGCAAGATCTGTAGCTACCTTCGCTACCACACGCAAATCAATTAGTGTGCATTAGTGTGAATTTTGCAATTTTCAATTTGTTTTTTTAACTTTACTAATAAGATCTCATGGTTATATCCAAGAAAAAAATTCCATTTATTTTGCCTTTCAATATTACATGGTCGTACGCCTGGTCGAAATCCTGATTGAAATTTTGATATTGATTTTCACTCAAATATCTATAAATCTGGATAAACACTTTTCTTTCAAAAACTTCCCTAAAAAAAGGGAAAATTGAAACATGGCGGTAATTTTCAAACTTTTCCCGGTGTTCTGATTTATAGATTGGGGGTACTCTAGGGCCTCTATAGGCCCTGTCCTAATCGCAAAGATTCAAATATTATTTCAAAATACAACTATACTAGCCTTGGTAAGTGTAGTTTATGACTTTGCCCAGAGATCCTGTCATATAGCTGGTGATTTAACATAATCATATATCTGATGATTAAACGCAACAAGATTAACGTTCAGTAGGATGACAAAATATAACGGAAACGAAAGTCCAGGTATGTCTAAACACATTTGTTTTGTACCTCACGTATTTTTTATATTAAAACTTATTTCAAAGTAAACAGACGATGATTGGACAATATTATGGGATGTAAATTCACTAAACATAAAACTTGGTACTTGGTACTAAACATAAAACTTACAAAGTACTTGGAAAGAAGGCGAGGGTTGTATATGCCAAGCCATTGCTTGCGAAACGCACAGCACCAGTCCGCAAAATAGAATAAGTCGCATTTTTCACAGTTCACGAGGTAGGTCTTCTTTTGATTTTTTGTTCACAACACGCAATGACTGTCTCAGTCGTCTCTGGGTTTTATATCTTATGTAATGCGGTTTTTTTCTACAATATGAAGACTCTACTTGAATTTTTAAGCTTACATGCGTTTAAGAAAAAACGAGATTAGCTGAAGTCGTCTCCATGTAGCGTATTACAAACAGTGTCGGGGGAGGAAATGCGGAACACCACTTACCATGTACGTAATTTTCGTTTTGTGTTTATTTACAAAATCACGTATAACTGCATGTTACTGCTGATTTGAAGTGAAAACACTGAACATCCTCACGTATTTTTGCGAAAAAAAGGCAATACCACTTCACGAGCTATACCTGGTGTGTGTGAGTTAAAGAAAGCAAAGCATTTTCTCCTAATATCATAATACTAAATGAATCAATAATATGGATTTAGACACCTTTGATCATTTGTAAAACAAGTTCATTCTAATGTTACACTCTACAAATTGTATTTAACTTGTATAAAAACAGTTAAAAAAACCCAGAAATTAAGAAAAACCTAAATTATCCATTGTCACAGGTTTCTTGTTCTCGGCAGCTAACTGGTGCACTGGTGCACGAGGCACCACCTAACAGCTTCTAACAGCTTAGTTCCTAGGCCCCATTCCGCGGGTTTTAAAAATCCGTGACGTCACCGAATGAAACACGCACTGAGAGGCCTAGCACAAAATGTTTTCTGAAGTTAACGGCTCATAATCGCCCATTTAATGTTGTCTTTTATTAAGAATTGACTGTAACAAGTAAATGTTTGCAATTTACAACACGAACTGTTATAAAGAAGGCGTGAATGAATAATTGAAATTGACAGATTGAAGTTTATTATATAATCATAAACATGCACGTACGGACTCGAGTTTACTCAATAGTCGATAGCATTGACAGCGAATGACATTGCAACGTTTGTATGAAGTCTTGGCAGTATAATTAATTTCCCGTAGCTTATTTCAAGCAAAATATTTGACTAGCGACGCTGAACAAGATCAGATAACCGCGTCGTAGATCGTAAACTAACCTCAATACGGAAAGTGGGAACAAAAACTTTTGTGTCTGTGTAGGTTTGTGTTTGTCTAGGCCTCTCAGTTCCCGTCTCGACAATTTTTGTAATCTCAACATTTTGTGCTAGGCCTCTCAGCGTGGGCAGCTCTGCATAATTAACAACGCGCATTTACAAGGCCTGGGACAAGGCTGTGGATGCACGGCGACGAGATCGTTTAATCATAAAGAACAAAACACAAATAAGAACCAGACTGAGACACCCAAATCCAACTACAAAACCAATCAATGTAGTGCTGGATACTTGAATTTTAAAGCTTACATGGCTTTAAAAAAAACGAGATTAGCTGAAGTTGTCTCCATGTAGCCTATCACAAACAGAGTTGGGGGAGGAAATGCGGAACAGTAGTTACTATGTACGTAATTTTGGTTTAGTGTTTATTTACAAAATCACGTATAACTGCATTTTACTGCTGATTTGAAATCCAAAACACTGAACATCCTCACGTATTTCTTGAAAAAAGGCAATACCACTTCAAGAGCTATAGCTGGTGTTGGTGAGCTACTCTACAAACGAGCGTGTTATTTTGATATTATAAAAGAACAGTGTTTAAGCCATCGAAATGATCGTCATATTTCTTTTAAAATATATGGGGGGAAATAAGGAAATACGAGAAAATATATAGGGGGAAATAAGGAAATACGAAATAAGAAAATCCCTGTAGAAATCACATTTGTTAAATTCGGGGAATTAAGAAAACAAACTTTATGTAGGCAGTTTAGGTATATTTAGAAAATTTCGCTCCAACAAGTTCGTTTTCACAGGCTGATTAACCCGGTCGATTAACCTGGTCGTGTATATATTTGTATACAATTTTTATCCTTTGGACTGTGGCAGAATGATTTTGAGAAAAAATAAAGTGAAAAGGGTTGGCATTAACGTAGTGAAGAAGTTATACTTTTTGTTATGCCTAAACTAAGAACCAGGGTGTCTTTATTCTTCCAGTGTAGCACAAGACTATTATACGTAGTTCTGTTTATAATTAAATCCTTTTCTAAGAATTTTCTTTAGTCTTTAGAAAACAATAACCAATAATTAATGTTATTATTATTCAGGTGTTTTGAATTGGAAATTAGTCCGTGTAATTTATTCTGAATTACCCTGAATCCGCCACTGATTAAATGAATCAAGCTACCACATATACCCCATAACGATACTTTATTTTACTATTTCCCAACATTCAATCATGATATAATAAAAAATAGTTAATCAAATATAGATACGTTTGCATTCTACGTGAGGAAATAGCCTCGCTGAAAATGACTGGCAAGAAAATATATTTTACCAATTCTTTCCAATTTGAACTTTCCTGAAGAAAGCAACACATTTTCCCTCATATCATACTACTAAATGAATCAATAATATGGATTTAGACACGTTTGATCATTTGGAAGACAAAACAAGTTGATTTAAATGCTACACTCTACAAATTATGTTAAGCTCGTATACAAACAGTTTAAAAAGAAAACAGAAATTAAGAAAAACCCAAATTCTGCATTGCCATAGGTTTCTTGTTCTCGGCCCCAGTCTGCGGTTGATCAGTGGATGCACGGCGACGAGATCGTTTAATCATAAAGAACAAAGCACCAATAAGAACCAGACTGAGACACCCAAACCCAACTACGGAACCAATCAATGTAGCGCTCACACCAGATTGACCTTAAAATTTGTTTACTTAATTAGAATCTTCTGCCCATGCGCACAGCGGGAAGAAAATGATCTGATAAAAACTAAACTTGTGTATGACTTAATAACAAGGTCATACCCTAGAAGATCGCTTTCAAATACGTCACAACTACATAAGGTTAGGCTGAGGAACCCAAGAATAACGTGAATACTCACACATTCTTTATGTAACTGCCGCGTTGTCAGAAAGGTCTATTTTTTATCCCGAGTGTTATTAACCTATTAACAATCTTGGAAGTAAGAAACTTACCCTTTTGGCTCTTGTCAGTTGATTTCTTTCGATGCATCAATGGTCCAAATGACAGCGCATACTTTCTCGATGCATCATCTGATGGTTTATCGGCAGCATCGCGACGAACTCGTCGCGGACATGAAGTACTTCGGGAGCAGGTAGAGTTAGAATCATATCTGTAACAGACAACAAGATCGCAGTGGAGGTAGACGAACCGATGTTGTGACAGAAAGCGAAAAGCCTGGATACTGAAACGTTGTACAGAACTCATCCCGTATGAATAATGGCGGATTGTCTCATCTTTATCACAGCTAAACGCAGAAAAGAAAATACATTCCGATCAAGAGTCCTTCACCTGCATTGAAATACATGTACACTGATAATATTTCCAAGTCTATATAGAATATTGTTATGTAAAACAATAAAATCATTGACTTTTTTATCAGTCTGAAACCCTGCATAGATGTTTTTACTTACCCGTCATCAATGAAGACATACTGTGGAGTATCATAAGGTCTGTTCGTAGGTGTAGCTCTACACGTCTCTGCGCGCACGACAAGATCTGAGTTGCTCGTGTTTACAGAATATTGAATATAAAGATTATCTGACAATGATTTGAGAACTGGATAGTCTTGTGAAGTATACGAATCACGATAATTCCAACTCGTGAAAACATCCATTGACAAAGAGAAATTGCCTTTTCCACCTTGAAAATTTTTTATTATTAAGTTATTGTAGGTAAAGTGCTGAAATGAACACATGCAAGCAATAAGTTGCCCGTTAAAACTAGAAAAGAGCTTCCAAGAAAGCGTAAAAGTTACTGAATACTTTTTGTTACCAAAAAAGGAAGAACTACTCATTTTAATACTTTTTACACATAAGTTTCTGCGAAGAAGATTGAAGATTGAAGGCCGAAGAATGATATTTCGGAGAGACGTGCGTAATTAAAAAAAGAAAAAATAAAGTAGCCAATAACGTAACTATTGTTTTGAAGTTTTGAAGTAGCAATTGAAATGCGGCACCATGGACTAGCATTAGGGATTAGAGCCTGTAAATGTGACAGCTATACTTATAGCTATACTTACTTAGAACAACAAGCGTTCTTTCTTTTGCTGGGGCAAAACTGAAAGATCCAACAGTACGTTTTCGAGGATATGAACACGTCATGTTGGCTTTGAAGAGATAATTTCTTGTGATAACACCAGAACCACTATAACTCTGTTCCACCTCAGAAAGAGCGTTGCTAAAATAGAGGGTTTGATCGTCTTTTGTGAACACTGTTCCACAACCAGTAAGCTGAGTTTTTACAATGACATGAGTTGAGTTCGAGCTGGCTTTACAATATCGACTTCGACTTCGAAGATACAGATTGTCGATGTTGACATTTTTTGGAAGATCTCCGCGATCAAATACAGCTGTCATGTAGTCTTTGTCACAAAACACTTGGAAATGAGATGCTGGAAAAACAAAAATATAATCAACAGTGTTGTTGTCGTTGATAACATAATCACTACCATTCTCATTGGCATCCGGCAGATATAATTCTGTCGTGCACCATCACTACCATAATCATCCCTATAACCACTGTAATTATTACCATAACTCAATATCATTGCTACTATTAATACACATGTCAGCATTAATCTCACCGTTGCATGTCTGTGAAGACATCTTTCCTGCAAGACTTTCTAGTTGGGAAAAACTGTTCAAAGTGATAACATGTTGATCCACTGGATCTGATGCCATTTCTCTCAGTTCGCGCATGGATAAACTCTGTCCAATCCCCACACTGAATATTACAACCCCATAGTTCTTCAGTTGCCGAGAAGGCCCGCTGACCTGCCCTGTGTTACTATACCCGTCTGTCAAGATTACCAATACCTTTTTAAACTCTAAAAATTAACAGAGTTCTTTTTAGGTCGAAGGTTCAACTAACATGCACAACCATGCAAGCGTTATGTAAATAACTTTGTCTGGAGAGTAAGGCCTGATTCAAACTAGTCCTAAGAATCAGAGATCAATTGTTTTACTTTCTGACAGACAAAGGATTTTGCGCCCAGTGACCTCAGACAAAAGGAGTCCCAAATGCTTTATTAATAGAGCAAGTGTATAGTGGGCTTTATAAATTACTAATCACTAGTAACACTATCATACCATCATACAAAAATTTTCTTTTGTTACCTGCACAAATTTCGCTGCCATCCGATATATAGCGCCTTCAATCATGGAGGTTATGTGACACGATTTGAAATTTGAAATTTGATTCTTACCTGGTCTTCTGGCTCCATATCCTGACGTAAACATATAACTATATGCCATGTTCAAAGCAATGCTGGTGGCAGTTCCTCCGCCTGTATATTGAATATTATCCACGGCAGTATCGAACTGGCTTTTGTCAGAAAAATATGTCGAAAACCGAATATGAATGTTTGCAGAGCTCGCATACGACATCACAGAAACCCGGGTCTCTTCTTGGCTAATTGTATAGAAGTTTGTCAGATCTTTGACAAATCGTTTCATTCGTTCAAAGTTTGTGCTCCCAACACTACCAGAATTGTCCAGTATAAAACCAAGATCCAACTTTTTTTGACATCGCGTAAAATTTCCTGCAAGCAAAAATCAGCTAGACCTTATAAAAATTCAATCCTCGCGAAACTAGACCACTCCGTAAAAAAGTAAAAAGCGATCCCCGTTTTTTGGGGGGAATCTTTTGGCTTGCAGTCATATTGCTTGCCGGACTTCCATTTCGCTTCGGATCCGGCGTAAACGGACCAGGGTATTTTAAGACCCATGGATAAAAGAAAAATTAATATTCTCAAATCTTTTTTAATCAATAACTGATTCTAGAAGAATAATTGAAGATATAAATATCCCTGTCATCGTATATTCTTACCGATACTTCCATTGTTTTTGCATCGAACACCAGCGTCTTCACTGTGGCTACAACTGTGACGACCCCAACCTCGATGTCTGCATGAAAATAGCGACGACTCAGAACCTCTACAATCAACATTATCGAGCCAAATCTGTCCAGTTCCATCGCGAACATTATGACCCTGATAAGCAGCTTCTGCATCTTGAAAACCAAGCTGTCTGCAGACAACACGTGCATCGTTCATGTCCCAATAATCATCACAAACTGTTCCCCATCTGCCGTTATAATAAACCTCCACTCGTCCTTCATTGTATGAACCATCAGCAATTCTTACGTCTAAAAGTCAAACCCGAATTTGAACGATAAACGACAAAGGCACGATCTGAGAAAAAAGGAAGCAAAAGGTGCCCAGGGAAAAAGATCCCCAAAATTGTTTTTTGATCCAGGATGGAAAATATTTTGTTACGTCAGTAATGTAACGTTTAGCTTATCATTCGACCAAAATGAACAACAGCACTGGAACCGGTTGTATAAAAAGGTAGTTAACTTTTAACTATAGTTAGTGGCAGATTTGGAGTTAACTCTTTAACAATTTACAGCAATTTAACTATTTAAAATGCAATTAAGACTTTTGGAGTATATATAATTTGAAAACCCAAAGTGAAAATAACAAACTTCTTGAATGACAGTTATCTTCATCACTTCCATCGTAACAATCATAACGACCGTTACAGTAAGAGTATGAATTAATACACTGGTAGCCATTTCTACATCGGTATTCATTGTAGTTACAGTGTATAATAGAAGACGTCATCGAATATTGTCCTATATGTAAAGGTAAAAAATATTTAAAAAATTTTCCTCTCTATTTATGAGAATTTTTATGAGAAGTTGAAGGAGGGAAGCATGTTAAATTTTTCAGTAAAAGTTTTGAAATGTAAAATTTTGGGCATCTCAGTGACTGTTCTTATCTAACTAACGTCAAAACTAAATATTAAAATGAAAGCAAGGTTTGAGGTGTTACGACAACATAACAGTTACCGCGTTCCTATACGTTCTATACTTTGGAAATTAACATCTTTAATTGGCATGCGGAACTCATGCAATTTGAGCTATCTATTATACAGCTATAGCAAAGAAAAAACGCTTGCAGAAGCATCCTGCCAGTCCCCCCCCCTCCTACGGGTTTGTGGTTAATGACATCACGATATAAGAGGAAAGAAAAACTGTTGGATGTAACTTTGCAATGAATGTGAAAAATGCCAGAAAATGAAGATGTCAAGTGAGTAAAGTTGATTAAACTGAATACGGGAAATGTTTGAGTAAAATAAAAGATTTTTACGATACATACCTGTTGACGAAGGTTGAATCGATGTACTAGTTTGGCTCACTATATAATTAATAATATATAATATATTATATTACATTATATTTAATTATTTTTACTCTTCAATTAAGAATTGAATATATAAATACATACCACAGTTCCACGACCATTCATCACTTCCATCAGAGCAATCTCTCCAACCATTACAAAGATAATATCGATCAACACATTGGTAACCATTATTACATCTGAACTGCCAATACCGACAAACAGTTTGTGATGCTGGTTAATATCATATGAAAGTAACAAAAATACTTTAGCTACTTTATATATGGCTTCACAGCCTTAAAATCTCGATCTGGTCATGTGCGAGGCATCCACGCGTGGTACACGCAATCTCGATATACTTTTCATATTTCCTGCTTATAATTATTATACTTTACAATCTCGATATACTTTTTATAGCATAATGTGAGGAGAAATCGCTGGAGCTTCATGATTAATTAAGTGATCACGTAGTAAAAATCGAGCTTTCTGATTGGATCATTTACGGTTGAGATATAATATTATTACTGATCTATAAGCACCCTGGAATGCAGCTTGTCGAGGTAACGATTTATGTCTATCGCGATTCATCCGGCGGGACCTCGTCGCTTTATACTTTGGCTCGGTGCGTAATTATTTAATAAAAACTTTATTTGAAGGTTGATTGCGCGCTATTCCATGATTATTCTTACGACCTGGCCCAGTGCTTTAAAAGAAAGCGTGTTGAAATTCAAACTAAATATTTGAAATTTTATGCAAGTTAATCAAATTTCAAAAGCGCGGAACCTCTCAATCTCAACATCTACTACCCCCTGTTTAGTTCTAACAATGATTTCTAAATCTCACTTCGGCCAGACCTTTTGTTGTGTAGATTATAGCGGCTTTACCGTCAATATGCACAATATTTCCGCGTACCACCGCCTAATTAAAAGCTGCATGGACCTTAACTCTAGCTAGCTGGTAAACTCAAGACAGTCTGTCATGCATATACTGCATGGGCGTATTGTCACTGAATAAGGCTTGTCTCATGCATCACTGGGAATAAAAGTGGTTTTATCTGATTTATCAAAAAGTATCAAAAAGGCAATGTGCAAGAAAAGAAATAGAGACTATAAGAGAAATAAAAGACTAAAAAACTAAATACTGGGTAAAAACAAACGATATGTTTCAACACTGTCACTGACAATTTCATGCATGACATACTACAGTACATACCTGTTGACCAAGTTTGAATTGATGAAGCTCTGGTTTGTTCCACTAGATATAATATTTAATGAAAACATCGATCATCAATTCACACTGAATAAAGAAACTATGTCTATCAATTAAGACATTGGTAACGATTATTACATCGAAACTCCCATCACCGACACACAGTTTGTGATGTTGACAATAATAAGAAAACTGATTTTGGTTTATAAGGATCATTATATACAAGGATAATGTGCGGGCATAAAACGTTTTGCCGTCGACTGCATAACAAAATAAAATAAAATAACATTTGAGGTTTTCTCTTTTTTTCTGAAGATTTTGTACCGTTTTTCAAACCATTACTTAATTGCTGCCATCGCATAATGCCGCAAAATCGAACGGCCAATGTTTACGCTAATCACTTTTATTTGTATAGCGAACGATGGAAACATTATAGCTATAATATACTCAGTAAAATATAATATAGACTAATTTGAGATTTGTGTCATTTCATGATAATTTATTCGCCGGAAAATGGCAAATACGACCATGGTCATATTCATCGGAAAATGGCAAATACAACCATGGTCATATTCGCCGGAAAATGGCAAATACGACCATGGTCATATTCGCCGGAAAATGGCAAATACAACCATGGTCATATTCGCCGGAAAATGGCAAATACAACCATGGTCATATTCGCCGGAAAATGGCAAATACGACCATGGTCATGCATATTCGCCGGAATATGGCAAATACGACCATGGTCGTATTCGCCGGAAAATGGCAAATACGACCATGGTCATATTTGCCGGAAAATGGCAAATACGACCATGGTCATATTCGCCAGAATATGGCAAATACGACCATCGTCATATTCGCCGGAAAATGGCAAATACGACCATGGTCATATTCGCCGGAAAATGGCAAATACGACCATGGTCATTATAAGTTTAGGTCAGGTTAGCTCAGGAAATTGTGTACTTGGTTTGAATCAGCGAGGGGTGCTGCATGTATGTATTTCTAGTATTTAGTTAACACGGCCCCTTTGAAACTAGGCAACTGAAATGCCATACGCATATAGGCCATACATGCATGTATCGTGTGGATAATAATTCGTAGCTACAACTGGGCCCAGTACTTTAACATAAAATATTTTGAAACTCAAACTGAATAATAGAAATCGTATATATACATGCAAATTAATCAAATTTCAAAAGCTCAACATCGACTACTTTTTCTTTGCACTCTATTTAAATTTTTCCGAAAATTGAAATGTAAAATTTGGGGAACACGATCTCTCCGATCTCAGCTGCTGCTCTTAGCTAACGTCGAAACTAAATATTAAATTAAAGCAAGATTTGAACGTGGCAACTCCATTTCCAACACATAATGCCCTATGCATTCGACAATACACGACTAACAACAACATGCGCTTAATGACAAAAATATCCATTACAACAACATATTACATAACAATATCAGTAAATTATATAAGAGGAAAGAAAAACTGTTGAATTGTAACTTTGCAATGAATGTCAAAAAGAAGAATAGAATATGAAGAATATGAAGATATCAAGCGAGTAAAGTTTACTAATTTGAGTACGGGAATTGTTTCAGTAAATGAAAAGATTTTTTCGATAGTACATACCTGTTGACGAAGGTTGAATCGATGTACTAGTTTGGCTCACTATACAATTAATAATATATAATATATTATATTACATTATATTTAATTATTTTTACTCTTCAATTAAGAATTGAATATATAAATACATACCACAGTTCCACGACCATTCATCACTTCCATCAGAGCATTCTCTCCAACCATTACAAAGATAATATCGATCAACACATTGGTAACCATTATTACATCTGAACTGCCAATACCGACAAACAGTTTGTGATGCTGGTTGATATCATATGAAAGTAATAAAAATACTTTAGCTACTTTGGCAACCCCAATGGCAATGAAAGATTTAAAGTAGTTTTCTGTTGTGTATCTCTAGATGCAAATATGACTGAAAGATGTGAAGAAGCTAGGAGAACATACCTGTTGACGAAGGTTGAATCGATGTACTAGTTTGGCTCACTATATAATTAATAATACATAATATTTCATATTACATTATATTTAATGATTTTTACTCTTCAATTAAGAATTGAAAATATAAATACATACCACAGTTCCACGACCATTCATCACTTCCATCAGAACATTCTCTCCAACCATTACAAAGATAATATCGATCAATACATTGGTAACCATTATTACATCTGAACTGCCAATACCGACAAACAGTTTGTGATGCTGGTTAATATCATATGAAATTAATAAAAAAACTTTAGCTAGTTTATTTAAAATCCCTAATGGCAATGAAAGATTTAAAGTAGTTTTCTGTTGTGTATCTCTGGATGTAAATATTGCTGAAAGATAAAAAGACGGAGAACATTACCGAAATGAATAGGGTGTCTTTTCCGGAAGAAAAAAGTGCACTTAGTAAGCTAGAAAAACGTGTGTATTTTATGACGTCATGTTGAAGGAATGCAGCTTGTCGAGGTAATGATTTATGTCTATCGCGATTCATCGGGACCTCGTTGCTTTATACTTTGGCTCGCTGCGTGATTATTTAATAGAAACTTTAATTTGAAGGTTGATAGCGCGCTATTCCGTGATTATTCGTACAACCTGGCCCAGTGCTTTAAAAGAAAGCGCGTTAAAATTCAAACTGAACATTTGAAATTATATAGAAGTTAATCAAATTTCAAAGGCGCGGACCCTCTCAATTCTAAACATCTACTACCCCCTGTTTAGTTCAAACAATGATTTCTAAATCCCACTTCGGCCAGACCTTTTGTTGTGTAAATTATAGCGGCTTTACCGTCAATTTGCACAATATTTCCGCGTACCACCGCCTAATTAAAAACTGCATAGACCTTCACTCTAGCTAGCTGGTAAACTCAAGACAGTCTGCCATGCATACTGTATGGGCGTATTGTCACTGAATAAGGCTTGTCTCATGCATCACTGGGAATAAAAGTGGTTTTATCAGATTTATCAATAAGTATCACAAAAGGCAATGTGGAAAAAAAAGAAAAAGACTTAAAAATAATGAGTAAAAACAAACGATATGTTTCAACACTGACAATTTCCACGACATACTACAGTACACACCTGTTGACCAAGTTTGATTTGATGATGCTCTGGTTTGTTCCACTAGATATAATATTTAATGAAAATATCGACCATTTTTGATATAATAAAGAAACTATGTCTATCAATTAAGACATTGGTAACGATTATTACATTGGAACTCCCATCACCGACACACAGTTTGTGATGTTGACAATAATAAGAAAAAATTTAGTTACTTTATTCAAAACCTAATGCACAAAACATAATGCAACCACATAACACAAGAAATATATACAAAGTCTTTTATTAAAGAGTGAAGGGCAAATTACATTAAAGCCTTAACATGCAGTGGAACAAAATTCAGTAAAATAACTTCACGGACGCAAACTTATCAGAAAGGTTTGAACTAATAAAGAAAACCTAGCGATTTCACATGTTGACGAAATTTGACTAGTTTGGCTCACAATACAATATTTATTAAAAACAACTATATGTGAGTGATTCTCATCAAAATATGATTGCTTTATCATTGGCTATTACTAACTGTGACGAATATTTGGCAAGGGGATACTATTTACTGAACGACGCGGAAACAAAAATTGTTTGTTCCGTGATTGTCCTTTTGCTACCATAAAATCTGTTATCCAACTGAAAAAATAAATTTGTTATACCATGCAGGATACGCGATCAACACAAAGCAATACTTACCAGAACGCGTTGCTTGAAAAGAAGGCGAGAGTTGATTGGATTGTGTAGTCCACCAAGACCCGGCCACTGCTTGCGACACGGCAAACATCAGTGTAAAAAATGAAATAGTAAGTGGCATTTTTCACAATAGCACAAGCCAATACGCAGTCTTACTCTTTTCCAGACTTTATCAATGTCACTATGACGAGTTAGATCTGGCTCACTGCATGTGTCGCGAAAAATAGCTGCGTTTTTATTTTACACAAATATTTGTAGTCTAATCTTTCCCGGATTAAAGTGTAATTAAATTTTTCAAGATTATTTTTGAAATAAAATTAGGCCTGTCTGTAACCAATCACGTTGCAGGAAAACGAAAATAAGCAAGTTGTGAAACAAAGATCCCAGATTTTGTTTCCCTTTCGAGTATATCTACCGAAATTACCGCGGCTTTTTCAGGATTAAAAATCCAAACATCGGATATCTTTGTAATGCTTTTACCGACAGATATCCAACATGTAATAATCTGCAAGGTTACTACTCTCTGTTGAGTTATATTTTCTTTAATAGACAACTAAAATACACTAAAATTGAAAAATAGAGTTACAGAAACAACTGTTATATAATATAACATAAACGCATGCATATCATGTGGTTGCTATCTTATTCATATAATAATCTTTGCTTTGCTTTCCACAGCTTTTATTCACACAGTATATTTTCCCGTATTCACTTAATTAGTGATTGTTCGAAAATGCCGAATGATTTCAGACTATTAATCCATGTGGTAAATAATTTAAAAGGATGAAAGCAGTGTTCCGGTCGCATAAGCAAATATTAGCGGAGAACAGATTACCAGTGATGGCGCCAGAGGGCAAGGGGCATTGCGGGGACGTATTCTAGAACTTTCTGCTATCAAATGACATAACGACTTTCATCACAGACATGCAGAAACAAATGCAAAGCATATATAGCTGCAAAGAAACAGACGTTCAAGGAAGAGGGGGAAATATAAGTAAGAACAAGGGTGTCTTGATTTTTCAGATAGCGTCGAACAAGACAATTCTTCGTAGTTGAATTAAGTGGATCAAGCTACCACAAACTATATCCCATAAAGATACTTTATTTTACTAATACACTATTTCCCAACATTCAATCATGATATAATAAAAAAATAGTTAATCAAATATAGATGCGTCTGCATCAGCGTGAGGAAATAGCCTCGCTGAAAATGACTGGCAAGAAAATATATTTTACCAATTCTTTCCAATTTGAACTTTCCTGAAGAAAGCAACACATTTCCTCCTCATATCATAGTACTAAATGAATCAATAATATGGATTTAGACACGTTTGATAATTTGGAAGACAAAACAAGTTGATTTAAATGCTACACTCTACAAATTATGTTAAGCTCAAATACAAACAGAAATTAAGAAAAACCCAAATTCTGCATTGCCATAGGTTTCTTGTTCTCGGCCCCAGTCTGCGGTTGATCAGTGGATGCACGGCGACGATATCGTTTAATCATAAAGAACAAAGCACCAATAAGAACCAGACTGAGACACCCAAATCCAACTACGGAACCAATCAATGTAGTGCTCACATCAGATTGACCTTAAAATTTGTTCACTTTATTAGTATCTTCTGCGTGCAGCGGGAAGAAAATGATACAGCTATTTGCAAGCCACTGCAGTTAACCGTGAAATTTTTATCACGTTTGTTTACATTTCAAACTATTAATGGTCAAACTATTTTTCCATCACATGTTCCTGGCTTCAATTTGAAAGTGTGCATAATAGACCTTTTTCATAATAACGTCAAACGCGGAAAGACTTGGAAGTTGCAAACTTACCCTTTTGGCTCTTTTCCGTTTGTTTCTTTCTATGCATCAATGGACCAAATGACAACGCATATTTTTTTGATGTATCATCTGATGGTTCGTCGACAGCATCGCGACGAACTCGTCGCGGACATGAAGTACTTCGGGAGCAGACGGAATTAGAATCATATTTGTAACAGACAACAAGATCGCAGTGGAGGTAGACGAACCGATGTTGTGACAGAAAGCGAAAAGCCTGGATACTAAAACGTTGTACAGAATTCATCCCGTATGAATAATGGCGGATCGTCTCATCTTTATCACAGCTAAACGCAGAAAAGAAAATACATTCCGATCAAGAGTCCTTCACCTGCATCGGTTTATTTGAATTGAAATACATGTATACTGATAATATTCCCAAGTCTAGATAGAATATTGTTATGTAAAACAATAAAATCATTGACTTTTTTATCAGTCTGAAACCCTGCATAGATGTTTCTACTTACCCGTCATCAATGAAGACATACTGTGGAGTATCATAAGGTCTGTTCGTAGGTGTAGCTCTACACGTCTCTGCGCGCACGACAAGATCTGAGTTGCTCGTGTTTACAGAATATTGAATATAAAGATTATCTGACAGAGATTTCAGAACTGGATAGTCTTGTGAAGTATACGAATCACGATAATTCCAACTTGTGAAAACATCCATTGACAAAGAGAAATTGCCTTTTCCACCTTGAAAGGAAGACTTTTGATTTACAAAGTATGTGGAAAAAGTAATCTTTCATTAGCAAGTTATTGTGGGTAAACTGTAAAGTGCTGAAATAAACACATGGAAGCGCCAATAAGTTAAAACTAGAAAATTGCTTCCAAAAAAGCGTAAATTAGTTATTGAATACTCTTTGTTACCGAAGCAACTCATTTTAACACTGACTTTAACAGAAGTTTCTGCGAAGGGGAGTGACTGCAGGTGATATTTCAGAGAAACGTACGTAATTAAAAAAACAATAATGAATAATTGAAATAATATTATATCATATAATCATACAATAATTGAAATAAGCAATAGGCATTAATATGAAATAAGAAATAGGCATTAGAGACTGTTTAATTGTGACATATACTTACTCAGAACAACGAGCGTTCTTTCTTTTGCTGGGGCAAAACTGAATGATCCAACAGTACGTTTTCGAGGATATGAACACGTCATGTTGGCTTTGAAGAGATAATTTCTTGTGATAACACCAGAGCCACTATAACTCTGTTCTACCTCAGACAGAGCGTTGCTAAAGTAGAGGGTTTGATCGTCTTTTGTGACGACTGTTCCACAACCAGTAAGCTGAGTTTTTACAATGACATGAGTTGAGTTATAGCTTGCTTTACAATATCGATTTCGGCTTCGAAGATACAAATTGTCGATGTTGACGTGTTTTGGAAGATCTCCGCGGTCAAATACAGCTGTCATGTAGTCTTTGTCACAAAACACTTGGAAATGAGATGCTGGAAAAACAAAAATATAAACAACAGTGTTGTTGTCGTTGATAACATAATCACTGCCATTGCCATCGGCATCCGGCGGCCATGCATCTTAACTCTGCCAGCATCACTATCAGCACTGTAAACATGTCAGCATAAATCTCACCGTTGCATGTCTGGGAAGACATCTTTCCTGCAAGACTTTCTAGTTGAGAAAAACTGTTCAAAGTGATAACATGTTGATTCACTGGATCTGATGCCATTTCTCTCAGTTCGTACATGGATAAACTCTGTCCAATCCCCACACTGAATATTACAACGCCATAGTTCTTCAGTTTCCGAGAAGGTCCGCTGACCTGCCCTGTGTTACTATACCCGTCTGTCAAGATTACCAATACCTTTTTAAACTCTAAAAATGAACAGAGTTCTTTTTAGGTCGAAGGTTGAACTAACATGCACAACCAAGCGTTATGCAAGTAACTTCTTCAGGAGAGTAAGGCCTGATTCACACTTGTCCTAAGAATCAGGGATCAATTGTTTTACTTTCCGACAGAAAAAGGATTTTGCGCCCAGTGACCTCAGACAAAAGGAGTCCCCATTAATAGAGCAAATGTGTACTAGGCTTTATAAATTCCTAATCACTATGATGATGTCATGGGGGTAAAATTTTTAAATTTGTGAAATTTGAAACTTGATTCTTACCTGGTCCTCTGGCTCCATATCCTAACGTGAACATGTAATTATATGCCATGTTCAAAGCAATGCTGGTTGCAGTTCCTCCGCCTGTATATTGAATTCTATCCACAGCAATATCGAACTGGCTTTTATCAGAAAAATATGTCGAAAAGCGAATATGAATGTTTGCATAGTTCGCATACGACATCACAGAAACCCGGGTCTCTTCCTGGCTAATTGTATAGAAGTTTGTCAGATCTTTGACAAATCGTTTCATTCGTTCAAAGTTAGTGCTACCAACACTGCCAGAATTGTCCAGTATAAAACCAAGATCCAACTTCTTTTGACATCGTGTAAAATTTCCTGCAAGCACAAATTACATAAAAATCCAATTCTTGCGAAACTAGACCACTCCGTAAAAAGTATAAAGCGATCCCCGTTTTTGATGGAAATCTTTTCGCCGGCAGTCATGTTATCAAGAACTGATTCTAGAAGAATAATTAAAGATATCAATAGCTCTGTCATCGTATATTCTTACCGATACTTCCATTGTTTTTGCATCGAACACCAGCGTCTTCACTGTGGCTACAACTGTGAATCCCCCAACCTCGATGTCTGCATGAAAATAGCGATGACTCAGAACCTCTACAATCAACATTATCAAGCCAAATCTGTCCAGTTCCATCGCGAACATTACCACCCTGATAAGCAGCTTCTGCATCATGAAAACCAAGCTGTCTGCAGACAACACGAGCATCGTTCATGTCCCAATTATCGTCACAAACTGTTCCCCATCTGCCGTTATAATAAACCTCCACTCGTCCTTCATTGTATGAACCATCAACAATTCTCACGTCTAAAAGTCAAACCCGAATTTGAACGATAAACGACAAAAGCACGATCTGAGAAAAAAGGAAGCAAAAGGTGCCCAGGGAAAAATTGTTTTTGCATCCAGGATGCGAAAGATTTAGTTACGTCAGTAATGTTAAGCTTATCATTCGATCAAAATGAACAATAGCACTGAGGTCGGTTGTGTAAAAAGGTAGTTAACTTTTAACTATATAGTTAGTAGCAGATTTGGAGTCAACTACGAACTATTCAAAATGTAATTAAGACTTTTATACAACCAGTCCTTGGAGTATGATTACAAAACCCAAAGAGAAAAAACAAACCTCTTGAACGACAGTAATTTTCATCACTTCCATCGTAACAATCATAACGACCGTTACAGTAAGAATATGAATTAATACACTGGTAGCCATTTCTACATCGGTAATCATTGTAGTTACATTGTATAGAAGACGTCATCGAATATTGTCCTGTATGTAAAGGATAAAAAATACTTTACTTATATATATGAGAAGTTTTTATGAGAAGTTGAAGGAAGGAGGCATGTTAAATTTTCCGTAAAATTTTTGAGACGTAAAATTTTGGGCGTCTCAGTGATTGCTCTTATCTACTGACTAACGTCAAAACTAAACATTAAAATAAAGCAAGGTTCTAACTCACAATGCCCTATGCATTCAAAACATCATAGTTTTATTAATTTTTTACTCTTTTCAGTATATAGATTAAAACAGTGTCAAAACTTTAGGCTGGCGGGAGGTTTTACGACAACATAGCAGTCACCGCGTTGCTATACGTTCTACTTTGGAAATTAACATCTTTGGCATACGCAATGCAATTTGAGTTATTTATTATATAGTAAAGAAACGCATGCAGATGCAGCCAGCCATCCCTCCCCTCCCTTCCTCCGAGGGGTTTGTGGTGAATGACATCACGATATAAGAGGAAAGAAAAACTGTTAAATGTAACTTTGCAATGAATGTGAAAAATGCCAGAATATGAAGATATCAAGTGAGTAAAGTTTATTAAACTAAATACGGGAAATGTTTCAGTAAAGGAAAAGATTTTCACGATACATACCTGTTGACGAAGGTTGAATCGATGTACTAGTTTGGCTCACTATATTTAATATATAATATACTATATTACATTATATTTAATGATTTTTACTTAATGATTATTCTATTGGGGTTTTTACTCTTTTAACAATTAAAATTTGAATATATAAATACATACAACAGTTCCACGACCATTCATCACTTCCATCAGAGCATTCTCTCCAACCATTACAAAGATAATATCGATCAACACATTGGTAACCATTATCACATCTGAACTCCCACCACGAACAAACAGTTTGTGATGCTGAATAATATCATATGAAAGTAATATAAGTAGAAAAATCTTAGCTACTTCGGTTACTCAAAATATAAATATGGCTGAAAGATATGAAGAGCATGCAGGACGGTGACATAATTGAGAAAGGTAATCAGGTGGGAATGAACAGGGAAGAGATTTGGTAGCCATTTCTACATCGCATAATATGAAAATACCACGATTAAACTGCATGTCTGCGTGAAAATGCTTCCGCGTGAATGAAATTTTTACCACCATTCATACCTGTCGATGAAGGGCGAATTGAGGGGCTCACTAAAAATCATAAATACAATAGTTTATTCAATAATTTTGCTTTTGTAACTGTTGAATTTCAGTTCGAATACATACCACAGTTCCACGACCATTCATCACTTCCATCAGAGCAATCTATCCAACCATTACAAAGGTAATATCGATCAACACATTGGTAACCATTATTACATCTGAACTGCCAATAACGACAAACAGTTGGTGATGCTGAATAATACTGTACTGTAAAAAGGATGGAAAATAAAATTTCCTTAGAAATTAAATTAAAATTTCTAGAATTCTAGGCGTAATTATTGACGAAAAACTGAATCAGCATGAGTATCTTGACGCTCAATGCAAAAAGATCTCAAAGAACATCGCGCTGCTAAGATGAGCAAAAAACATTGCAACACAGAATCAATGCATTATTAACAGTGTATAATTAATATATTTTAGGGATTATTGTACGTAAACATTTAATAGACAAATTATTGTATTTAGTAAACATACACCTCCCTTTGAAAACCATGCAGGCAACTGAAAGGCCAGTAGGTTACCCCCCCCATCCAGCGGAAAAAACACGCAACGCGTGGACCCCACGCGGGACGTCGGAAACTATCGGATTTTCCCGAAGATATGCGTGGTCTCCACGCAGAGTGTGAGTGCGAAGTTTTTAAGCGTAATTAAGTACACAGAAAAGCTTGGCGAGGAAAATATTTTATTTGTCAGGGTACTAATTGTGCTACAAATAGTTTTAAATACTACAATTCTTAGCGAAATTTCAATTACTTTTTAAACAAATTCACCTTTAAAAATAAATACTTTTCAAATCCAAATCATTTCAACGATATATTGACGAATAAATTCAAAGAGGGGTCATACATTTGTTGATAAACCCACATATTAAACTTACAAAACAATAGTATACTTTAAAATACCGAAATCTACCCATTTACCTGTTCAAAAACACTTTAAAAATGCTTCAAAATCGTAGATATTTCACCATCCATTAGAATGAAAATTTTTCTATCCAAAGGTATCTTTTACATTATTTTAATGAATTTTACGAGTCAATTTTTCGTATATTTTTAAGACCATCCAAATGAAAAAGATTATTTAAAAAAAGGTTTATAATTCAAAATATCAGTTATGCTGACGTGACCCAAATTTTAATTTAGCCAATCGCACGTTTGTAAACGTTTGCTAGTTACCAGTTTTAACTCGTCTTATACTCACGCATGCGCATAACTTACAAAAACGCCCAACGTTCATGACATAATGGCGGACAACTTTCATTTCGCATTTGCATTCCCGGGCGTAATTAAAATCTCCGGGCGGAATTAGTACCCTCGCCCGGTGCTGTGCACCGGCTCGGGGATAATTAATTACGCCAGAAGCGCATTGCATTGAAACGTATCCGCTGGTTAGTTTACTCATAAATATTACACGCTAAAAGATGATTCAGGGGAAATACGTTTACTCAATTTTCAAACTATTTGCCTTAATGCATAATTTGACTGAAGTGACTCTTTCACAGTGACATTGTGAAAACAAACAAATTTCAGATATGGATTAACGATTTTAACATTTATTTGTCTTGCAATTAGTTACAGCAATAAATAATAATTTCTTCTAAAACGTTTTTTTACCATTGGACTAAATTTAAAGTCTAATTATCATCATCGTCATAATCTTCACTGTCTTTATTTTCCTCGTCATCATCAATCTCGTGGTCGCTTAAAAGCCTTTTAATAAGAAACTTTCTCTTATCAACTGCAGCTTCTATTGCTTCTTCTGGCTCAAAATCATCATTTTGAATAAACGCATCTTTTGTGTTCATTATTTTCTTATGTACTGGATCTTTCTTTAGTTGTCTTATCCACAAAAGGCGCTCTAAGTAGATATTTTCTAATTCTTTCTGGAGTCTAGGCATAATATTCAAGTAAGCTTTCTCTTTAGCAGAGTGCTCATCGAAACCTCTGTTTATGAGGCGTTCTTTCATTTCCTCGAAAGCTGTGTTACTTCTTTGTTTTGCTTCTTCTATTAGTGGTATCCAGAGATCCATTTCCTCTCCAGATTCTGAGTCAGTCGCCGTCGAACTTTCAGACTGCTGAGTAGAAGTTGTTGAGACATCGTCACGGAAATCTCTTTCTTGACTGTCCGAGTCTGTTTGAGACATGTTTTTTTCTTGTTCTCGTAATGGACAGTATTCCTGTTCGTGTCTACGCTGATTGTACCGCGATAAATATCTCCGGCAAAATTGGCAGCTCATTCCCTTAGCACTGGAGGCGTAAAAATGCCTTGTTATCGAGCAGTAATGCAGTTTTATGAGCAGATGAGCATGTGCTCATGAGCAGTTATGAGCATGTGCTCATCTGCTCATCGCATAAAATGGCACCCGGTTCATTGAAATTTTTCAGGCCCAATATAATATAATTTATATTGTTCAATTTAAAAAAATAATGTCGGTTGCAATTTTTATGCGATGAGCAGATGAGCATCTGCTCATGAGCAGTTATGAGCATGTGCTCATCTGTTCATCGCATAAAATTTGTAATCAACGCGTTGCTTGGACCATAATAAATTAAGATAAGGATTAACGCTTGTAACAATATAACTAAGTAGAACAATTTTACAAATATCTTAAACATTTGTCTGGGCAGGTTTTTTCCATTTCAAATTAGAGGTGGAATATCGGTTACAAATTTTATGCGATGAGCAGATGAGCACATGCTCATAACTGCTCATGAGCAGATGCTCATCTGCTCATCGCATAAAAATTGCAACCGACATTATTTTTTTAAATTGAACAATATAAATTATTATATTGGGCCTGAAAAATTTCAATGAACCGGGTGCCATTTTATGCGATGAGCAGATGAGCACATGCTCATAACTGCTCATGAGCACATGCTCATCTGCTCATAAAACTGCATTACTGCTCGATAACAAGGCATTTTTACGCCTCCAGTGCTAAGGGAATGAGCTGCCAATTTTGCGGAAGATACTTTAATCGCGGTTACAATCAGCGTAGACACGAACAGGAATACTGTCCATTACGAGAACAAGAAAAAAACATGTCTCAAACAGACTCGGACAGTCAAGAAAGAGATTTCCGTGACGATGTCTCAACAACTTCTACTCAGCAGTCTGAAAGTTCGACGGCGACTGACTCAGAATCTGGAGAGGAAATGGATCCCTGGATACCACTAATAGAAGAAGCAAAACAAAGAAGTAACACAGCTTTCGAGGAAATGAAAGAACGCCTCATAAACAGAGGTTTCGATGAGCACTCTGCTAAAGAGAAAGCTTACTTGAATATTATGCCTAGACTCCAGAAAGAATTAGAAAATATCTACTTAGAGCGCCTTTTGTGGATAAGACAACTAAAGAAAGATCCAGTACATAAGAAAATATGAACACAAAAGATGCGTTTATTCAAAATGATGATTTTGAGCCAGAAGAAGCAATAGAAGCTGCAGTTGATAAGAGAAAGTTTCTTATTAAAAGGCTTTTAAGCGACCACGAGATTGATGATGACGAGGAAAATAAAGACAGTGAAGATTATGACGATGATGATAATTAGACTTTAAATTTAGTCCAATGGTAAAAAAACGTTTTAGAAGAAATTATTATTTATTGCTGTAACTAATTGCAAGACAAATAAATGTTAAAATCGTTAATCCATATCTGAAATTTGTTTGTTTTTCACAATGTCACTGTGAAAGAGTCACTTCAGTCAAATTATGCATTAAGGCAAATAGTTTGAAAATTGAGTAAACGTATTTCCCCTGAATCATCTTTTAGCGTGTAATATTTATGAGTAAACTAACCAGCGGATACGTTTCAATGCAATGCGCTTCTGGCGTAATTAATTATCCCCGAGCCGGTGCACAGCACCGGGCGAGGGTACTAATTCCGCCCGGAGATTTTAATTACGCCCGGGAATGCAAATGCGAAATGAAAGTTGTCCGCCATTATGTCATGAACGTTGGGCGTTTTTGTAAGTTATGCGCATGCGTGAGTATAAGACGAGTTAAAACTGGTAACTAGCAAACGTTTACAAACGTGCGATTGGCTAAATTAAAATTTGGGTCACGTCAGCATAACTGATATTTTGAATTATAAACCTTTTTTTAAATAATCTTTTTCATTTGGATGGTCTTAAAAATATACGAAAAATTGACTCGTAAAATTCATTAAAATATAATGTAAAAGATACCTTTGGATAGAAAAATTTTCATTCTAATGGATGGTGAAATATCTACGATTTTGAAGCATTTTTAAAGTGTTTTTGAACAGGTAAATGGGTAGATTTCGGTATTTTAAAGTATACTATTGTTTTGTAAGTTTAATATGTGGGTTTATCAACAAATGTATGACCCCTCTTTGAATTTATTCGTCAATATATCGTTGAAATGATTTGGATTTGAAAAGTATTTATTTTTAAAGGTGAATTTGTTTAAAAAGTAATTGAAATTTCGCTAAGAATTGTAGTATTTAAAACTATTTGTAGCACAATTAGTACCCTGACAAATAAAATATTTTCCTCGCCAAGCTTTTCTGTGTACTTAATTACGCTTAAAAACTTCGCACTCACACTCTGCGTGGAGACCACGCATATCTTCGGGAAAATCCGATAGTTTCCGACGTCCCGCGTGGGGTCCACGCGTTGCGTGTTTTTTCCGCTGGATGGGGGGGGGTAACCTACTAAGGCCATATCGTGTTAATAATAATAATTCGTACAACTGGGCCCAGTACTTTAACATAAAATTTTTAAAATTCAAATTGAGTTTTGAAGTTTTATACTGTATACATGCAAGTTAATCAAATTTCAAAAGCGTGGTCCCCGGTCAGTCTCAACATCTACTACTCGTCCATAGCGAAGCCCAACCATAAAACATCTGTAGCTACACTGTATCTGTGCAGGAGGGCCTGTTAAATTTTTCCGAAAATTGAAATGTAAAATTTGGGGAACACGACCTCTCCGATCTCAGCTGCTGCTCTTAGCTAACGTCGAAACTAAATATTAAGTTAAAGCAAGATTTGAACGTGGCAACTCCATTTCCAACACATAATGCCCTATGCATTCGATCACAAACGACTAACAACAACATGCACTTAATGACAAAAAATTCGCCTCGTGAATTTCTATCTAACAATAACAGCACATAATTATTATATATTTTTATTTGTTGCTCTTTTCAGTATGTAGATTAAAGACAGAGTGTTAAAAAGGCTGGCGGGAGGTGTTACGACAACATAGCAGTTACCGCGTTGCTATACGTTCTACTTTGGAAATTAACATATTTGGCATACGCAATGCAATTTGAGCTATTTATTGTATATATAGTAAAGAAACGCATGCAGATGCAGATGCAGCCACCCCCCCCCCCTTCCTCCGACGGGTTTGTAGTGAATGACATCACGATATAAAGAAAAACTGTTAAATGCAACTTTGCAATGAATGTGAAAAACGCCAGAATATGAAAATGTCAAGTGAGTAAAGTTTATTAAACTGAATACGGGAAATGTTTCAGTAAAATAAAAGATTTTTACGATACATACCTGTTGACGAAGGTTGAATCGATGTACTAGTTTGGCTCACTATATTTAATATATAACATATTATATTACATTATATTTAATGATTTTTACTTAATGATTATTCTATTGAGGGTTTTTACTCTACTAACAATAAATTTGAATATATAAATACATACCACAATTCCACGACCATTCATCACTTCCATCATAGCAATCCCTCACACCATCACAAAGCCAATATCGAGAAATACATTTGTAACCATTATTGCATCTGAACTGCCAATACCGACAAACAGTTTGTGATGCTGAATAATATCATATGAAAGTAATAATGACAAAACTGAGTACATCATAGTTGGATCTAGAGAAAGACTGCAACAATTAACCGACGACCAACTTATAGAGACTAGTGACAACACTGCATGTAAAAAGGGTGGAAAATAAAGAAATTCTAGGGGTAATTATTGACGAAAAATTGAATCAGCATGAGCATCTAGACGCTCAATGCAAAAAGATCTCAAAGAACATCGCGCTGCAAAAAACTTTGTAACACAGAATGCATTATTAACAATGTATAATTCACTTGTCCTCTCATACTTCACTTTCTGTTCCACCGTTCGGCGTGACGGCATTCATATAAATAAATTATTTAAACTTCAAAAAAGGCCGCTCGAGTGATAATAGGAGAACCTATAAAACTAGATCAGCTGAAATCTTTAATAGTCTAAAGTGGAAACCAATTGAAAACATTTTTCAAATGCGAGAACAGGAAATGACATTTAAGGCTTTACAAGACGCCAAGCAACTTATAAGATTTATTTACTTTCCGTCACAACGTCAATAGTATAATTGACAAGCCATAGACATATTTCTTGAAACGCAGTTTTTCATATAAAGGGCCATTTCTTGAAATAGCTTATTATACCTGCAGATATTTTAAGCGAGACGAGAGCGTTTCTACAGATTCATTCAAACCCCAACCATATTTACATTATGTCAGACAAGATATGTAGATACGTAGATATTTGATGGATAAATTATTGTATTTACGGTTAAAACATGCAACCCTTTGAAAACCAAGCAGCTAAAAGACTACAGTGTTTTTAAATAGTTAAATCAAATTTCAAAAGCGTGGGCCCAGTCAATCTCAAAATCTACTAGTTACAAAGCCCAACCAACATACGAACGTCATAAAACATCTGTAGCTATCTGTGCAAGAGAGCATGTTAAATTTTCCGGACTGAAATTGAAATGTAAATTTGTGGAACACGATCTCTCCGATCTCAGATGCTGCTCGTAGCTAAGGTCAAAACTAAATATTAAAATAAAGCAAGGTTTGAACGTTGCAACTCCATTTCTAATACACAACACCCTATGCATTCGATCACAAACGACTAACAACAACATATTACCATATTAACAATAACAGTAAACTATACATATATATATATATATATATATATATATATAATTATATATATATATATATATATATATATATATATATATATATATATATATATATATATATATATATATATATATATATATATATATATATATATATATAGCAATAACAACAACATTTTTATTTGTTACTCTTTTTAGTATTTAGATTAAAGACAGAGTTTCAAAAAAGCTGGCGGAAGGTGTTACGACAACATAGCAGTTACCGCGTTGCTATACGTTCTACTTTGGAAATTAACCTTTGCTTTGGAATGTGCAATACAATTTGAGCTATTTAACGCATGCAGATTCAGCCAGCCACCTCCCCTCCTCCCATGGCATCACGATATAAGAGGGAAAAAACTGCTGAATGTAATTTAGTAAATTACTTTGCAATGAATGTGAAAAACGCTAGAATATGAAGATATCAAGTGAGTAAAGTTTACTAAACTGAATATGGGAAATGATTTAGTAAATGAAAAGATTTTGAATACATACCTGTTGACGAAAGTTGAATCGATTGACCAGTTTGGTTCACTATATTTAATATATAACATATTATATTACATTATATTTAATGATTTTTACTTAATGATTATTCTATGTAAATATGAGAATATTCAATACACCTGAAATACTTAGTGGAACCAAAGATGATATACTGGCCTTATGAAGGAATACCCGAGCAGAAAAAGTTAGAAGTTACTTTTTAATAGTTGATTGTGATGTGGAGGTATATATGCTAGATAAACTACAATCCAGTGGATAGCGCTATCCATGCATGGCCAAGTTATGGTTTGACATTCAAACTGAATATTTGAAATTGTAAACAAGTTAATCAAACTTCAAATTAGAGCGTGCCCCCCCCCCAATTCTCAACACCTATACTACCCCCTGTTTAGTTCAAAAAATGATTTCTAAATCCCACTTCGGCAAGACCTTTTGTTGTGTAATTATAGCGACTTTACCGTCAATTTGCACAATATTTCCGCATACCACCTCATAATTAAAAAAAGTTTAACCAAAATTCTCGTTAATGAGAGAAACGTTCGTTTTCTTGATACGTTCTCTAGGGTTAACTGCGTGGACGTTAATCCTAGCTGGTAAACTCAAGTCAGTCTCCATACATATCGAACTGAATAAGGCTTGAATTGTCTAATGCATCAGTGGGAATGTAAGTCAGTGGTTTGGGGGGTTGGAAACGTTACGTTTTACAAGGAATAAAGTTGTTAACTTTAAAAATTGTCAACAGTGACCGTGAGGCAATTAAGGTATGGTTTCTAATGCTATAAGGATGAATCCATAAATTTATTGAACTTTTACACTGAGTAACTCTTAAGTCTTAAGCCCCACACATTAGATTCACCATTAAATTAAGTTCTGGAAGGAAATTTTGAGAACTATATGCACCACAGTCCACAGACATGTCAAAATGTGCAATTCCTCAGTAATTATCAAGAATATCATAACGAGATGAAACACAGTTGCTTTTGAAAACTGAGAAATTCGCAAATATTGCGTCGCGTTTCCTGATCGCGTCCGGTGTGTGTTGGCGTTTAACCACACCAAAAAGCCCAACCAACATATGTTTGTGTATGGGCGATTCATTAAGCTATATTTCATAGAATACGGTATATGATCAACAGAAAGTATCGTGATATGCGACAGTTCTCTACAAATACGTCTCCACAAATGCCTTTGTCAAGAATTTTTCTCTTTTTGAAACGACGACAAAAGAGTTATAAACTGAACATTTTGCTGCCTGTTATTAAGGCATGGGTTGAAAATGGATTTTGTTCACCTACACAGGCCGCTACAAATGATCAGTTTTTAAACATTAAAGCAAACCAAAGGAGGACTTAAGGAATGACAATTCGCAACGGAACTAGAACAAATACTTACAACTGGGTGTTGCTTGGAAAGAAGGCGAGGATTGTATCTGCCAAGCCACTACTTGCGACACGCACAGCACTAGTGCCCAAAACAGAATAACTCGCATTTTTCACAGTTCACGCAACAGATAGTTTCCCTTTTGATTTTGTTCACAATGTTGACTGTCTCAGTCGTCTCTGTGTAATGCGATCTTTATTTATTTTGAAAATTCTGTTTATCTTTCCTATCTTCAATCTTTTATATGCCGTCTCGACGAAACCGGATTTGTCTTCAATGTAGCCTATCACAAACAAGTCCTGAGAAGAAAATATGCGTGGATTGTTAACTTGTGCATGGGTGTAAATTTAACTGTCAAATTGTCGCATATATTGGAAATATAATTACCATGCAAGAGATGCCGACAGAATACATTCGACAGGAAGACTAGGAAAAGGCGGGCTTGTGGCAGATCAGGAGTGTAAAGTAGTGTAGCCAACCTAACGAGTACCAGCTCTGCTAATATTCTACCATTCATTCGGTCCCTCAGGTGCCACAACGTACGTTCCAAACCAGGGGTCGGTTGTATGAAACCGGGATAGCGCTATTCACCGGATAGTGATTTTTTCAACCGTTCAAAAATACTCGAAAAGCGATAAAAGTTCATCTTTGGAATGAACAATTATTAAAGAGGATCCTCGATTTAGGAATACTAAGATTTAGTCAAAGTTATAGCAAACAACGGGCGATTTTAAAACGATTGAAAAAACACTAGTCTATCCGGTGGAATAGCGCTATCCGGCTTTCACACAACCGACCCGAGAAGATTATCGATGATGCCCTTAATCAAAGCAGTGAAGATTAAAACATGACGAATGATAATATTTGCCAAGAATGCTTTGTGACTTATTATATCTTATAAAACATAAACCATAAATTATTACAAGTTTAGGAATATTAATATCCCGTATGACTTTAGAATACATTCGTAAGTAATAGTATAGCTTGACAAGATTGATTAATATAGAGCGGTAACCCGAGACATTACCACGTCGTAGCCTCTGCACCCCCGGTTAAGTCGAGATTATACGGATGAAAACCACGGAGCGCACTGGAGGGGGTGGACGCCCTAACTTGTCAGCTAGTGGGCAAATTTTATTTTTTGGTCGATCCACAAAGCGGAACTTTTTTATCTTTTGATCAAAAATCAGGTAACGGAGCTGGCTAATTTTCTTCTTGCTGATTTAAAATTTTCTCTAAATCGTCCGTTTCGGGTAATCTCGAGGTGAAAAGTCAAGGATTTTCTCACACGAAAATAAAATCGCCTGAATACTATAAAAATGTTACAAAAAATTGACAGAAATGCCAAAATGCTTGACATATATTGAAACCTGGCAAGCCTAATTAAAAAGGGTCTAGAATGAGCTGGGATTTTAGTAAGATTTTGCCGCTTCATCGTCAACAAATCTTTTGAAAATTGAAATCTTAAATCTGTTGCCACTAGGCATCAAATGTGGTATAACAACCGCCTAAAATAGACAAAACACATTCCCACCGTAGGCGAATTTTGCGCGGGAAGCGGAATCTCTTTGCTTCTCTCACATGACGCACAGACAATGAAAATTCCGCGTAGCGAAAAACAGCCCTTAACTAATGATATTTTAACAGTATATGGTTGCGTGATTGAAGGCCGTGACACCACATTAACTTGAAAGGGAAAAGAGTAATTAAATTTTTCAAGATCACTTTCGAAATAAAATTAGGTCTGTCTGTAACCAATCACGTTGCAGGAAAACGAAAATAAGCAAGTTGTAAAACAAAGATCCCACATTTTGTTTCCCTTTCGAGTTTAGTTACCGAAATTACCGCGGCTGTTTCAGGATTTAAAATCCAAACATTGGATATCTTTGTAGTGCTTTTACCGACAGATATCCAACATGTTATAATCTGCCCGGTGACTACTTTCTGTTCTGAGTCAGTAATTCTTTGAGGTCCAAACATGGCGATATTTCCTTTAATGGACAACAAAAATTATATTTAAATGGATCAAGCTACTACAAACTGTATCCCATAATGATACTTTATTTACTAATACGCTATTTCCCAAAATTCAATCATGATAATTATAATAAAAAATAGTTAATGAAATATGGATACGTTTGCATTCTACGTGAGGAAATAGCCTCGCTGAAAATGACTGGCAAGAAAATATATTTTACCAATTCTTTCCACTTTGAACTTTCCTGAAGAAAGCAACACATTTCCCCCTCATATCATAATACTAAATGAATCAATAATATGGATTTAAACACGTTTGGAAGACAAAATAAGTTCATTTGTAATAAGTTCGTATGTTAAGCTCGTATACAAACAGTTAAAAAAGAAAACAGAAATTAAGAAAAACCCAAATTCTGCATTGCCACCGGTTTCTTGTTCTCGGCCCCAGTCTGCGGTTGATCAGTGGATGCACGGCGACGAGATCGTTTAATCATAAAGAACAAAGCACCAATAAGAACCAGACTGAGACACCCAAATCCAACTACGAAACCAATCAATGTAGCGCTTACACCAGATTGACCTTAAAAGTTGTTTACTTAATTAGAATCTTCTGCCCATGCGCACAGCGAGAAGAAAATTATCTGATAGAAACTAAACTTGTGTATGACTTAATAACAAGGTCATACCCTAGAAGATCGCTTTCAAATACGTCACAACTAAATAAGGTTAGGCTGAGGAACCCAAGAAGGACGTGAATACTTGCCTCTCCTCACACATTCGTTATGTAATTGCCGCCTTATTGGAAAGGACTATTTTACCACGGGTGTTATTAAAACTGAATCTTGGAAGTTGGAAGCTTACCCTTTTGGTTCTTGTCGGTTGGTTTCTTTGCATGCATTAATGGACCAAATGACAGCGCATACTTTCTCGATGCATCATCTGATGGTTTATCGGCAGCATCGCGACGAACTCGTCGTGGACATGAAGTACTTCGGGAGCAGGTAGAGTTAGAATCATTTCTGTAACAGACAACAAGATCGCAGTGGAGGTAGACGAACCGATGTTGTGAGAGAAAGCGAAAAACCTGAATACTGAAACGTTGTACAGAACTCATCCCGTATGAATAATGGCGGATCGTCTCATCAGTCTTTATCACAGCTAAACGCAGAAAAGAAAATACATTCCGATCAAGAGTCCTTCACCTGCATCGGTTTATTTGAATTCAAATACATGTACACTGATAATATTTCCAAGTCTAGATAGAATATTGTTATGTAAAAGAATAAAATCATTGACTTTTTTATCAGTCTGAAACCCTGCATAGATGTTTTTACTTACCCGTCATCAATGAAGACATACTGTGGAGTATCATAAGGTCTGTTCGTAGGTGTAGCTCTACACGTCTCTGCGCGCACGACAAGATCTGAGTTGCTCGTGTTTACAGAATATTGTATATAAAGATAATCCGACAGCGATTTGAGAACTGGATAATCTTGTGAAGTGTACGAATCACGATAATTCCAACTCTTGAAAACATCCATTGACAGAGAGAAATTGCCTTTTCCACCTTGAAAGGAAGATTTTTGATTTACAAAGTATGTAGAAAAAGTAATGTTTCATTAGCTAGTTATTGCGGTTAAAATGCTAAAAAAAAACACATGGAGACAATTAAGTTGCCCGCTAAAACTAGAAAATTGCTTTCTAAAACGTGTAGTTCGAAGTTATACTGAATACTTTTTGTTATCAAAACTACTCATTTTAATACTTTTTACACAGAAGCCTCTGCAAAGGAGAGTGACCGAACTGGTCACCGATATTTCGGAGAGACGAACGTAATTTAAAAAACAAAAAAAAATTAAAGTAGCCAATAACGTGAATAGCCAATTGTTTTGAAGCAATAATCGAAATGCGACACAATAGCATTAGAGCGTGTTTAATTGTGACATATACTTACTCTGAACAACGAGCGTTCTTTCTTTTGCTGGGGCAAAACTGAATGATCCAACAGTACGTTTTCGAGGATATGAACACGTCATGTTGGCTTTGAAGAGATAATTTCTTGTGATAACATCCGAGCCATTATAACTCTGTTCCACCTCAGAAAGAGCGTTGCTAAAGTAGAGGGTTTGATCGTCTTTTGTGAACACTGTTCCACAACCAGTAAGTGGAGTTCTTACAATGACATGAGTTGAGTTATAGCTTGCTTTACAATATCGATTTCGGCTTCGAAGATACAGATTGTCGATGTTGACGTGTTTTGGAAGATCTCCGCGGTCAAATACAGCTGTCATGTAGTCTTTGTCACAAAACACTTGGAAATGAGATGCTGGAAAAACAAAAGTATAATCAACAGTATTGTTGTCGTTGATAACATAATCACTACCATTGCCATTGGCATCCGGCGGCCATGCATTTTAACTCTGCCACCATCACTGTAAAATTGCATGTCAGCATAAATCTCACCGTTGCATGTCTGGGAAGACATCTTTCCTGCAAGACTTTCTAGTTGGGAAAAACTGTTCAAAGTGATAACATGTTGATCCACTGGGTCTGATGCCATTTCTCTCAGTTCGTGCATGGATAAATTCTGTCCAATCCCAACACTGAATATGACAACCCCATAGTTTTTCAATTTCCGAGAAGGTCCGCTGATCTGCCCTGTGTTACTATACCCGTCTGTCAAGATTACCAATACCTTTTTAAACTCTAAAATTGAGCATAGTTTTTTTAGGTCGAAGCTTGGACTAACATGCACAACCACTTTGTCAAATAACTTTGTCAGGAGAGTAAGGCCTGAATCACACTTGTCCTAAGAATCTGGGATCAATTGTTTTACTTTCCGACAGACAAAGGATTTTGCGCCCAGTGACCTCAGACAAAAGGAGTCCCACATGCTTTATTAATAGAGCAAATGTGTACTAGGCTTTATAAATTACTAATCACTAGTATCACTATCGTACCATCATACAAAAAATTTCTTTTGTTACCTGCACAAATTTCGCTACCATCGGATATATAGCGCCTTCAATCATATTTCCCGCCGTTGGATAGGACGATGTCACGGGCGAATTATAAAATTGTTAAATTTGTGAAATTTGAAACTTAATTCTTACCTGGTCCTCTGGCTCCATATCCTGACGTAAACATATAATTATATGCCATGTTCAAAGCAATGCTGGTGGCAGTCCCTCCGCCTGTATATTGAATTCTATCCACGGCATTATCGAACTGGCGTTTATCAGAAAAATATGTCGAAAAGGAAATATGAATGTTTCCAGAGCTTGCAAACGACATCACAGAAACCCGGGTCTCTTCTTGTCTAATTGTATAGAAGTTTGTGAGATCTTTTACAAAACGTTTCATTCGTTCAAAGTTTGTGCTCCCAACACTGCCAGAGTTGTCCAGTATAAAACCAAGATCCAACTTCTTTTGACATCGTGTGAAATTTTCTGCAAGAACAAATCAGCTAGACCTTATAAAAATCCAATTCTCGCTAGACCTATAGACCACTCCGTGAAAAAGTAAAAAGCGATCCCCGTTTTTTGAGGGAAATCTTTTCGCCGGCAGTCATTTTGCTTGCCAGATTTCCATTTCGCTTTGCATCCTGCGTAAACGGACCAGGTTATTTTAAGACCCATGCATAAAAGAAAAATTAATATTCTCAAATTTTATTTAATCAAGAACTGATTCTAGAAGAATAATTGAAGATATAAATATCCCTGTAATCGTGTATTCTTACCGGTACTTCCATTGTTTTTGCATCGAACACCAGCGTCTTCACTGTGGCTACAACTGTGACGACCCCAACCTGGATGTCTGCATGAAAATAGCGACGACTCAGAACCTCTACAATCAACATCATCAAGCCAAATCTGTCCAGTTCCATCGCGAACATTATGACCCTGATAAGCAGCTTCTGCATCTTGAAAACCAAGCTGTCTGCAGACAACACGAGCATCGTTCATATCCCAATCATCATCACAAACTGTTCCCCATCTGCCGTTATAATAAACCTCCACTCGTCCTTCATTGTATGAACCATTAGCAATTCTCACGTCTAAAAGTCAAACCCGAATTTGAACGATAAACGACAAAAGCATGAACTGAGACAAAGGAAGCAAATGGTGCCCAGGCAAAAAAATCCCAAAAATTGTTTTCAGATCCAGGATGCAAAAAATTTAGTTACGTCAGTAACGTTACGTTTAGCTTATCATTCGACCAAATTGAACAACAGCACTGGAACCAGTTGTAAAAAGGGGTTTAACTATAGTTAGTGGCAGATTTGGAGTCAAATACGATTTAACTATTCAAAATGTTCAACCAGCCCCTGGAGTATACATAATTTGAAAACCCAAAGTGAAAAAACAAACCTCTTGAATGACAGTAATCTTCATCACTTCCATCATAACAATCATGACGACCGTTACAGTAGGAATATGAATTAATACACTGGTAGCCATTTCTACATCGGTAATCATTGTAGTTACATTGTATAGAAGACGTCATCGGATATTGTCCTGTATGTTAAGGATAAAAAATATTTTTTTATACGTGTTACGACAACATAGCAATTACCGCTTTGCTATGAGTTCTCACTTTGGAAATGAATAAACATCTTTGGCCTGCGCAATGCGATTTGAGCTATTTACTATATATAGTAAAGAAACGCATGCAGTCAGATGCAGCCTGCATGCCGACTGGTGAATGACATCACGATATGAGAGGAAAAACTGTTGAATGTAACGTTGTAATGAATATGAAAAATGCCAGAAAATGAAGATGTCAAGTGAGTATAAAATTTACTAAACTGAATACGGCAAAGGTTTCATTAAATGAAAATATTTTCACGATACATACCTGTTGACGAAGGTTGAATCGATGTATTAGTTTGACTCACTGCAAGTTAATCAAATTTCAAAAGCTTGCATGGACCCCGTCAATTCTCAACATCTACTACTATACATAGCAAAGCCCAAGCAACATACAAACGTCATAAAACATCTGTAGCTATATCTGTGCAGGAGGGCATGTTAAACTTTCTCGAAAATTGAAATGTAAAATTTGGGGAACACGACCTCTCCGATCTCAGGTATTGCTCTCAGCTAAAGTCGAAACTAAATATTAAAATAAAGCAAGGTTTGAACGTTGCAACGAAATGGTTCTAATACACAATACCCTATGCATTCGATCACAAACGACTAACAACAACATGCACTTAATGACAAAAAATTCGCCTCGTGAATTTCTAATCAGTTTCTGTTTAACAATAACAACAACATATTTTTATTTGTTACTCTTTTCAGTATTTAAAAAATGCTGGCAGGAGGTGTTACGACAACATAGCAGTTACCGCGTTGCTATACGTTCTACTTTGGAAATTAACCTTTGCCTTGGCATACGCAATGCAATTTGAGCTATTTATTATATTATAGTCAGTAGATGCAGCCAGCCATCCCTCCCCCTCCGACGAGTTTGTGGTTAATGACATCACGATATCTCACGATATAAGAGGAAAGAAAAACTGTTGAATGTAATTTAGTAAATTAATTAGCAATGAATGTGAAAAATGCCAGAATATGAAGATATCAAGTTAGTAAAGTTTACTAAACTGAGTCGGGAAATGATTTAGTAAATGAAAAGATTTTTAATATACGATACGATACATACCTGTTGACGAAGGTTGAATCGATGTACTAGTTTGGTTCACTATATTTAATATATAATATATTATATTACATATTTAATGATTTTTACTTAATGATTATTCTATTGAGGATTTTTAATTGTCGTGGAACTGTGCATGGTATGTATTAAAAACCTTTAGCTATAATTATACTTTCAAAATCCCCAATGAAAAATTTAAGGTAGACTTTTCTATTTTGTATCTCCCGATCGATGTAAATATGACTGAAAGATATGAAGAGCAAGTCTGTAAAACTTTAAGTTAATAATGGCGCATGCATGGATATGAGAAAATATATATATAGTTAATGAGTTAACGGCAACCATGGTTTTAATAAATGAAAGTAATAACCATGCACACAAAGATTAACTTTCACGACCCAACGTTTCGGCACTCCGGTCTAATGTCTTCAGACCGGAGTGTCGAAACGTTGGGTTGTGAAAGTTAATCTTTGTGTGGTGGTTTCTTTCATCTATTAAAACCAGAGTACCGATAATTACGACGAAATGTATATAATGAAATATATATTGTTTATAATTGCACTTTTTCTACATATTTTATAATAACCCGAGAATATTCAATACACCTGAAATACTTAGTGGAACCGAAGATGATTTAATGGCTTTTATGAAGGAATATCCGAGCAGAAAAAGTTACGTTGTAATTGTTGTTTGTGATTTGGAGGTATATATGCTGGATAAACTACCATCCGGCATGCATGGCCAAATTAATGTTTTGACATGCACTCAAACTGAATATTTGAAATTGTATACAAGTTAATCAAATTTCAAATTAGAGCGCGAACCCTGTCAATTCTCAACATGTACTATACCCCCTGTTTAGTTCAAAAAATTATTTGTGTAGGGGCTGTTTACATGAGCCCGGTTACCCGAGATTCAACGAAGCGTGAGAGGACTTTTGAGGTATTGAAATAAGTCTTTATGACACCAAAGAAGCACATGCTTATGTGGTGATCATACGACTGCCAGGATCATGTTATCTGCATTGCCTCAAAAATTATCTCACGCTTCGTTGAATCTCGGGTAACCGGTCTCATGTAAACAGCCCCTAAGGTTTATAGCGACTTTACCGTCCGTTTGCGCAATATTTCCGCATACCACCTCGTAATTAAAAACGTTTGACGAAAAATTCTGGTTCATGAGAAAAACGCTCGTTTTCTAGATACGTTCCCTGGGGTTAACTGGACGCTAATTCTAGCTGGTAAACTCAAGACAAGTATTGAAACTTAGCTATTAAAACTTATATTATTGAACTTATACTGAGTAAGTCTTAAGCGCCACTGCATGGAGGCGACTCACCATTAAATTCAACTCTGGAAGGAAATTTTGAGAATTATATGCACCTCAGTCCACAGACATGTCAAATGTGCAATTCCTCAGTAATTATCAAGAATATCATAACGAGATGAAACATAGTTTCTTATGAAAACTGAGAAATTCTCAAAAATTGCGCACGTTTCCGGGTCGCGTCCGGTGTGTGTTGGCGTTTAACCACACCAAAAAGCCCAACCAACATATGTTTGTGTATGGGCGATTCATATATTAAGTTATATTTCATAGAATACAGTATAGATGAAAGTACATGATAAACAGAAAGTATCGTGATCTGTGACAGTTCTCTACGTTTCCGTCAAGATTTTTTCTCTTCTTCTCGACAAAAAAGTTATAAACTGAATATTTTACTGTCTCTTATTAAGGCATGGGTTGAAATTGGATTTTGTTCATCTACACAAGCCGCTACAAATGACCAGGGGTTTTTTCAACATTAAAGCCAACCAAAGGAAGAGTTAAGGAATTATTGCGAACTGGAAATTCGCAACGGAACTAGAACAAATACTTACAACTGGGTGTTGCTTGGAAAGAAGGCGAGGATTGTATATTATGCGAAGCCACTGCTTGCGAAACGCACAACACTAATGCACAAAACAGAATAAGTCGCATTTTTCACAGTTCACGCAACAGCTTCCCTTTTGATTTTGTTCACAACGTTGACTGTCTCAGTCGTCTCTGTGTAATGCGATCCTTTTCTATATCGAAAATTCTGCTTATATATCCTGGGAAGAAAATATGCATGGATTGTTAATTCGTGGGTGTAAATCTAACTATCAAATTGTCGCATATATTGGAAATATAATTAACATGCAAGAGATGCCGACAGAATACATTCGACAGGCAGGCTAGGATAAGGACGGGCTTTATAATCGTGGCAAATCCGTAATGTGGAGTAGTGTAGCCAGCCTCACGAGTACCACGAAAGATTATCGGTGATATAACGTAATATAATTAACATGCAAGAGATGCCAACAGAATACATTCGACAGGCAGACTAGGATAAGGATGGGCTTTATAATCGTGGCAAATCTGTAGTGTGGAGTAAGAGTAGTGTAGCCAGCCTCACGAGTTCCACAGAAGATTATCAATGATGCCCTCAATCAAAGCAGTGAAGATTGAAACATGACGAATGATAATATTTGCCAAGAATGCTTTGTGACTTATCATATCTTGTAAAACATAAACCATAAATTATTACAAGTTTAGGCATATCAATATCCCGTATGACTTAAGAATACATAATAGTATATATAGTAATAGTATAGCTTGAAGAGATTGATTAATATAGACTGGTAATGTCTTGGGTTACGTCGTAGCCTCTGCACGACTGCACCCCCAGTTAAGTCGAGATTATATGGATGAAAACAAGGGAGCGTACCGGAGAGGCTGAAGGTTTAGGGCGGGGGGGGGGGGGGTTGTCGAGCCACAAAGCGGAACTTTTTTATCTTTTGACCAAAAATTAAGTAAGAGGAGCTGGCTTTACCGTTCTACTGATTTTCTCCTTGCTGATTTAAAATTTCCTCTAAATCGTCTGTTTCTGGTAATCTAGAGACGAAAAGTCAAGGATTTTCTCACACGAAAATAAGGTCGCCTTAATACTATAAAAAACGTTAAAAAATTTACAGAAATGACAAATGTTTGACATATATTGAAACCTGGCTGGCAAGCCTAATTAAAAAGGGTCTAGAATGAGCTGGAATTTTAGTAAGATTTTGCCGCTTCATCGTCCACAAATCTTTTGAGACGCACGGACAATGAGATTCCTGCCTAGTTCAAAACAGCCGTAACGCCTTAATGATATTTTGTATATTTATATACATATCCGCTCGCTATTTTCTATGGGTAGAACAAGAGCATAAAACAAAATATCTCTATGGTTTAGTTATCTATACAACTAAACAATCCGCATACAAACAATTCAAATTAAAAAACACAGGTGATTAAGTGTACTCCAAATCTTGTATCTCGATCGCTTCCTTGTTTTCGACCCCAGTTTGCGGGTGAACAGTGGATCTATGACGACGAGGTCTTTTAATCACGATAACCAAAGCGCCAATAAGAATCAGGCTGAGGCAGCCAACCCCAACCAAGGAACCAAGCAATGTAGTGTTGACACCAGTTTGACCTTAAGAATTGTTCACATAGTTATTATAGCATGTCTTGCTCTAGCGTGTCACGTGACTGGGGTAACATCCTAGGTTCGGTCGCGCATGCTCTAATCACACTATGCTTAGTGTGCTATTATCAAAGATGTATGTACCAGATATTCTATTGTCATGTAAAGCGGGTCTTCCATCTATGGTGGGATTTAATAGGATTTTGCCTTTTTATATCAGTATTGTTCGAAAGCACACAAAACGAAAGTTAAAAGTACACGCACAGAAACCGCCTCAAATCAGTTACCTTCGGAGCTCTTGTCAGTTGATTTCTTTCTATACATTAATGGTCCAAATGACAACGCATATTTTTTTGATGCATCATCTGATGGTTTATCGGCAGCATCGCGACGAACTCGTCGCGGACATGAAGTACTTCGGGAGCAGGTGGAGTTAGAATCATATCTGTAACAGACAACAAGATCGCAGTGGAGGTAGACGAACCGATGTTGTGACAGAAAGCGAAAAGCCTGGATACTGAAACGTTGTACAGAACTCATCCCGTATGTATAATGGCGGATCGTTTCATCTTTATCACAACTAAACCAAAAAAGGATATACTTTAGCTCTTGTGGAAAATTATTAGTTTTTCTACAAGTTCGAATGTTACGGGTGATATATTATTAACCTCCGCGTATTTCTGATCGTGTTCTAGATGTAAAATAATCTGATAAAATATCTGAAACCCCTGTATAAATGTTTCTACTTACCCGTCATCTATGAAGACATATTGTGGACTATCATAAGGTCTGTTCGTAGGTGTGGCTCTACACGTCTCTGCGCGCACGACAAGATCTGAGTTGCTCGTGTTTACAGAATATTGAATATAAAGATTATCTGACAGAGATTTGAGAACTGGATAGTCTTGTGAAGTGTATGAATCACGATAATCACTTCTCCTGAAAACATTCATTGACAGAGAGAAATTGCCTTTTCCACCTTAAAAAGAAGAATAGGGAACGTTTTAATTTTAGGGAGTGCATGGGTAAAATATTTTATTTTAGGTACTTGTAGGTTAGGCTTAAGCAGTCAAGTACTTCTTATAAATTATATCGAAATTCATCTCTTGTTGAATATCTTATCTGTGCGTCGTAAGAGTAATACAGAATATTGAATCAGGATTTTTTTACTGTGATATTCGTAGGACACTTACTCAGAACAACAAGCGTTCTTTCTTTCGCTGGTGAAAAACTGAAAGGCCCGACAGTACGTTTTCGAGGGTATGAACACGTCATGTTGGCTCGGAAAAGATAATTTCTTGTGATAACACCAGAGTGACTCTGTTTCACCTCAGAAAGAGCGTTGCTAAAAAAGAGAGTTTGTTCGTTTTTCGAAAACACTGTTCCACAACCAGTAAGCGAGGTTTTTACAATGACATGAGTTGAGTTCCAGCTGGCTTTACAATATCGACTTCGACTTCGAAGATACAGATTGTCGATGTTGACGTGTTTTGAGAGATCCTCACGGTTAAATACAGCTGTCATGTAGTCTTTGTCACAAAACAGTTGGAAATGAGATGCTGAAAAAACGAAAACATCAGTGACTGTGTAATCATAATTGATAACATAATCAACACTACCATTTTCATAACCTTCAACATAATTGTAATTCCAGCATTTATTTATTAATCATCACTCTTCCATAACCATAATTGTCATCACATATTTATATTTAATAGCTTGAACATCATAATTGCCATCAACACCTTCATATTCGTAAATATACAATCTCACCGTTACATGTCTGTGAAGACATCTTTCCTGCAAGACTTTCTAGTTGAGAAAAACTGTTCAAAGTGATAACATGTTGATCCACTGGATCTGATGCCATTTCTCTCAGTTCTTGCATGGATAAACTGTGTCCAATCCCCACACTGAATATTACAACCCCGTAGTTCTTCAGTTTCAAAGCTGGTCCGCTCACCTGCCCTGTGTTACTATGCCCGTCTGTCAAGATTACCAATACCTTTTTAAAACCTAAATATAAACAGTACTAATTTTAGGTGGTAAATTGCTCATTTAAACAAAAAATTCTTGTTTTCATACATTTAACGAAAAAATGTAATATTGCAAAAACAAATAAACCTAGTAAAGAATTTCTGGGAAATCAGTATTTTTTGAAAAAGATTATACTATATGAATGGGGTTTTTTCGGATACAAAAATTTTCTTGTATAATTCGTCCCTGTCCGCAGGTTTACCTTTATACTAGAAAACGATCCACTCGAATATGGTCGAATATACCGGAAAATGGTCGAGTATAATGCGTTTAATCCGTTTTTCGAAACTATTCTTTTGAACAAACGCTATGGCTCAGTCATAACCATAGGATGTTATAACTTATGCAATCGGAATTTCCCCATAGAACGAAATAGCATCACATACAACGGGTAAAATTAGGAAAGTATAAGAATTAACTAGACTATTGTGAAGATGGTTTAGACGAACTAATAATCCAAGTGACTAAACGGGATTTTTTTACAACGTTTGATTCTTACCTGGTCCTCTGGCTCCATATCCTATAGTAAACATATAATTATATGCCATGTTCAAAGCAATGCTGGTGGCAGTTCCTCCGCCTGTATATTGAATTCTATCCACAGCATTATCGAACTGGCTTTTATCAGAAAAATATGTCGAAAAGCGAATATGAATGTTTGCATAGTTCGCATACGACATCACGGAAACCCGAGTTTCTTCACGACCAATTTTATAAAAGTCCGTCAGATCTTTGACAAATCGTTTCATTTGTTCAAAGTTACTGTATCCAACACTGCCAGAATTATCCAGTATAAAACCAAGATCCAACTTCTTTTGACATCTAGTAGAATTCCCTGGATAAAAACAACGAAAAGATTAATCGATAAATGGTTATAAAGATCAGAAAAAAATTCTTAAAAAAATCACTGTACCACGGACATTTTTACTGTTTCACGCTGGTTTTATTCCACTGATTTTGTCGTGATTCGTGAACAAGAAGTCATGAAGTCGCTCGAGTTTAAATTGTACACCACCAAAATAAACAACGGGACTAGCTACGGGGGCCTTTTGTATCAAGTGAAGCAGGTATTGAATGTGTTAACTTGAATATCAGTATGCGCTGAATATGTAGTTGTAAACAGTATCGTTGTTCTAAGGATAAAAATCTATAGTTTGCTTGTTGAATAAAACGATAGATTTGCTTTCTATTTTGAGCTTATAACCACAGTTTAAGCTAAACGGGCTTGATACAACCGGCCCGTGGAGTATAATTTCAAACCCAAAGTGAAAAAACAAACCTCTTGAATGACAGTTATCTTCATCACTTCCATCGTAACAATCATAACGACCGTTACAGTAAGAATTTGAATTAATACACTGGCCATTTCTACATCGGTATTCATTGTAGCGACATGGGAATTGTTGCTGTATGGATGAAGACATCCTTGAATATTGTTCTATTTGCAAGAAATAGGAACGTTACATGCAGAAAAATCGAGTTTTAATTAATACATTCACTGGCAGCCATTTCTACATCGCGTAACATGAAAATACCACGATTAAACTTCATGTCTGCGTGAAAATATTTCCGCGTGAATGAAATTTTTACCACCATTCATACCTGTCGATGAAGGGCGAATTGAGGGGCTCACTAAAAATAATAAATACAATAGTTTATTCAATAATTTTGCTTTTGTAACTGTTGAATTTCAGTATGAATACATACCACAGTTCCACGACCATTCATCACTTCCATCAGAGCAATCTCTCCAACCATCACAAAGATAATAACGAGGAAAACACTGGTAACCATTATTACATCTGAACATCCAATACGGACAAACAGTTTGTGATGCTGAATAATATCATATGAAAGTAATGTAAGTAGGAAAATCTCAGCTACTTCAGTTACTCAAAATATAAATATGGCTGAAAGATGTGAAGAGCATGCAGGACTGTGACATAATTGAGAAAGGTAATCAGCAGGGAATGAACAGGGAGGAGATTTGGCTGAAAATTAATGGTGAATACAATGAAGTGAATTAATTAGCAAGAGTTGCATTGTGTACTAGTATATAAAACCGCGATAAACTAAGAAGACTGGGTATGAAACTAAATAGCATATATAGGTGACTGTCATTAAAGCCGCAAATCAACTCAGATATGCATGAAATCAAGTAACTTTAGGTTCCTTGAATTTTGACTAAAGGTTTACTTTACTATAAAAGCTTTGAGAAAATAATTTTACATACCTGCTGACGAAATTTGAGTGCTATACTTTGCTAAAGAAAATCAACGCAAATATGGAAATTTTCAACTGAATAAAGTTTTAAGTTAAAAGCAGGAAATGTTCGAGTAAAGGTTTACACAATATATGAATATACCTGTTGGCATGATGTGATTGACGGCACTGCTTTGACTAACTATAAAACAATTAATACAAACAAATTTTCCAAATCGTATCAAAATATATGCTTGTCCTCTTTCAACAACCCAGAATAAACCAGTCTTTTTCCCCCGAGCAAACATTTCAACGGTTGAATTTAGGCTAATATAGTATACCAAAATACGTACCACAGTTCCACGACCATTCATCACTACCATCAGAGCAATCTCTCCAACCATCACAAAGAAAATATCGATCAACACATTGGTAACGATTATTACATCTGAACTCCCAATAACGACAAATAACTGGCGATGCTGGAAAATATCATATGAAAGTAAGACGAAAACTTGAGTCAATTGATTCAAAATGAACATAAAACAATTAAACATTATAAAAGAAAATTTAAAGTAGATTTTTCATTGGTGTTCAGGGTACGTAAATATGGCTGAAAGATACGAAGAGCATGCAGGACTGTCACATATAATAATATAACTTGCTAGAAAAGAGGAAATCATTAATTGCCTGAAAATCAATGGTGACTACAATGAAGTGATATATAGAAGACACAGGCTTCGAGCGGGGTGCATTGGGTTCAAGTATATAAATCGCGATAAACTATATATATAAGAAGCCTGTGTGTTAGCATATCAAAGCCTATTATAAACAATATAAAATAAAGCTTAGTAAAAGTAATTTTTGGACGCAAAACAACGCAAGAAAGGTTTGAGCAAATTAAGAGGTCCATGCTTTATTTACTTACCTCCTGACGAAATTGGAATGCTATACTTTGCTAAAGAAAATCAACGCAAACATGGAAATTATATCAACTGAATAAAGATTTAAGTTTAAAGGAAGAAATGTTCGAGTAAAGGTATACTCAATATATACATAGCTACCTGTTGGCAAGTTGTGATTAACGGCACTGGTTTGACTAACTGTAAAACAATTAATACAAACATATTTTCCAATTCGTATCAAAATATATGCTTTTCATCTTTAAACAACCAGGAATAAAGTCAATATACACCTTTTCCCCCGAGGAAGCATTTCAACGGTTGAATTTAGGCTAATATAGTATACCAAAATACGTACCACAGTTCCACGACCATTCATCACTACCATCAGAGCAATCTCTCCAACCATCACAAAGATTATTTCGATAAATACATTGGTAACGATTATTACATCTAAACTCCCAATAACGACAAATAACTGGCGATACTGGAAAATATCATATGAAAGTAATAAGAATACTTGAGTCATTTGATTCAAAATGAACATAAAATAGATCATAAAAGAAAATTTAAAGTAGATTTTTCATTGGTGTTCAGAGTACGTAAATATGGCTGAAAGATACGAAGAGCATGCAGGACTGTCACATACATATAACTTGCTAGAAAAGAGGAAATCATTAATTTGCTGAAAATCAATGGTGACTACAATGAAGTGATATATAGAAGACACAGGCTTCAAGCGGGGTGCATTGGGTTCAAGTATATAAAACCGCGATAAACTCTATATATAAGAAGCCTGTGTGTTAGTATATCAAAGCCTATTATAAACAATATAAAATAAAGCTCAGTATAAAAGTAATTTTTGGACGCAAAACAACGCAAGAAAGGTTTGAGCAAATTAATCCATGCTTTATTTACTTACCTCCTGACGAAATTGGAATGCTATACTTTGCTAAAGAAAATCAACGCAAACATGGAAATTATATCAACTGAATAAAGATTTAAGTTTAAAGCAGGAAATGTTCGAGTAAAGATATACTCAATATATACATAGCCATTATAAACAATATAAAATAAAGCTCAGTAAAAGTAATTTTCGGACGCAAAACAACGCAAGTCCATTTTACATACCTGATGACGAAATTTGAATCTTATATATTGCTAAAGAAAATCAACGCAAATATGGAAATTATAAACTGAATAAAGTTTTAAGTTTAAAGCAGGAAATGTACAGTAAAGGTTTATTAAATATATAAATTTACCTGTTAACAAAATGGGATTGACGGCACTGGTTTGACTAACTATATATAAAACAATTAAAAGAAACAAATTTTTCCAATTCGTATCAAAATATGATGTTTTTCCTATTTGAACAAGCCAGAATAAACCTTTCTCCCGAGGAAGCATTTTAACGGTTGAATTTCATAGCATACAAAAATGCATACCACAGTTCCACGACCATTCATCACTTCCATCAGAGCATTCTCTCCAACCATTGCAAAGATAATATCGATCAATGCATTGGTAACCATTATTACATCTGAACTGCCAATACCAACAAGTTATTTGTGATGCTGAAGATAATAAAAATATCGTGCTTATTGCACTTTTTGATCTTGCTATAACTAGTAGAAAATATTTAATACATCTTATAGACCCACTACATTCAATTTATTAGTACAGCACAGCTAAAATTGACACCCCTACCAATTGAATTTATCCATGCACGGCCATTGTATTATAGTACAACCTGAGCACGGATAAACTACACTTATACTAATACCAATTTAAGCCGTGTCGTGCCCATAAAGATTGAGCGTAGTGGGGCTCTTGAATACTTATGTAAGATATATTTTTGAAAAGAAAATATTGGATATATAAGATCATATTATTGGACACAAATTACACAATTATGGCTATTCCGAAGTTGCAGTAGACGACGTGTAATAATGATATTAACAAAGCATCATGGGGCTGTTATGAACGACGAGCTTTTCCTTCCATCCCTTTGCTTCAACCCCAACTTCACCATATGGGCAGTCGTTTATTCAAAATCAATTCAGTCCATGCACTCTGATTAACAACACGACATCAATTAGGTTTGACGCCAGTGAGACGCCAATGAGAGCGCACTAGCCAAGTTTGGGAAGCGGAACATGAAACCTTGGACCAATTCGCACTTGCGTGTACTAGCTTTTACGTTTGTGCGAAGGCTAGGTGACGGTCTGTGATGGATATAATAGCCAATAGGTTTTTTTTAATCTCATTCCTGATCAGTGAGTAGGAGATTAATTATTAAGCTACATGTCTTGAAATACGTTCTTGGAAGAGAACGTATTCTTGGAAGACAGCTAGGGAGCAATTCTTGGAAGACAGCTAAGAAGCAATTCTTGGAAGGAAACTATAGAGCTGTGTGGGAGTTCCTTCGAATAACATGTCATCAAAGGGGGTTCATCAACTGATTTGTGGAAATTTCTTGATATTTTAACTTTCGGACATTTGTCAAGGTTGTCGCTTAAATCTTGTGCATGCCCTGCTGGAAATCCAGCGAATTCCCGGAACGCAATTATAATTTTGGGCATGTGCATATATAGTGTCCTATTTACGCTACTTTCTAAACAGTAAAAACATACATCAGTATCTTTTGAACTTACTGACGGGACGATTTAAACAACTGGAATTACTATTAGAATATACACATGCATTAGCAACAAAGCTAGAACAAACACTCACCACTGGGTGTTGCTTGGAAAGAAGGCGAGGGTTGTATATACCACTGTGTCACTACTTGCGACACGCACAGCATCAGTGCGCAAAATAGAATAAGTCGTGCCATTTTCCAAAGTTCCCGCAACAGTTATAGGTCCGCTTTTGGTTTGTTTGTGTACAACGATGACTGACTCGATGGCGCTATGTTTATTGTTCGAATGAAATACGATCAGGCGATTCTTAATTAATCTTGTCTTTCAGCGAAAACGTCATTAATAACTGATTTGTTTGCAAATCACAAACATAGAAATATGCGCGGATTGTAATACAATAGTCACACACATGCATAGTTTCACTTTCGTTTACTTACAAAATCAACTACATGCTTCTGCTGATTAGAAGTTCAAAACATTTTATATCTTTGTAGATGTTATTTTACCAAAAGCGAAGTCCAATTAAATTGTCATACTGAAAAAGAACTATTTACAAGAGATGTCTAGTGGAATAGTGACATAATACATCTGATTATATTTTCCAATAGAATATGACATTTTTAAATGATATTATCAAGAGAAGGTTGTTTAGATGATCCCGCTAAATAATATAATAGTCGAATGATTTAAGTTATTTTTTTGTTAAACAAAAATGCTATCACGAAAATGCCATGCATTATTTTCTTACAAGTTATTTCATGTCTTATCTCGGATGCAGCAGCTAAAGCCTGGTTCTTGTGACGAAGAAAATTTATTCGAAATAACAAAGCACTTCATCGCATACACGATCAACACAAGGCAATACCTACCAGTATGCGTTGTTTGAAAAGAAGGCGAGAGTTGATTGGATTGTGCAGTCCACCAAGACCCGGCCACTGCTTGCGACACGCCAAACATCAGTATACAAAATGAAATAGTAAGTGGCATTTTTCACAATAGCACAGTCCAATACGCAGTCTTACTCTTTTCCAGACTTTATCAATGTCACTATGATGAGTTAGATCTGGCTCACTGCATGTGTCGCGAAAAATAGCTGCGTTTTTATTTTACATAAATATTTGTAGTCCAATCTTTCCCGGATTAAAGTGTAATTAAATAAAATCAGGTCTGTCTGTAACCAATCACGGGGCAGGAAAAGGAAAATAAGCAAGTTGTAAAACAAAGATTCCATGTTTTGTTTCCCTTTCGAGTTTAGCTACCGCGGCTTTTTCAGGATTTAAAATCCAAACATCGGATATTTTAATTTGTAGTGCTTTTGCCGACAGATATCCGACATGTAATAATCTGCAAGGTTACTACCCTCTGTTGAGTTATATTTTCTTTAATGGACAACTAAAATACACTAAAATTGAAAAATAGAGTTACAGAAACAACTGTTATAATATAACATAAATGCATGCATATCATGTGGTTGCTATCTTATTCATATAAAAATCTTTGCTTTGCTTTCCACAGCTTTTATTCACACAGTATATTTTCCCGTATTCACTTAATTAGTATTGTTCGAAAATGCCGAATGATTTCAGACTATTAATCCATGTGCTAAATAATTTAAGAGGATGAAAGCAGTGTTCCAGTCGCGTAAGCAAATATTAGCGGAGAACAGATTACCAGTGACGGCGCCAGAGGGCAAGGGGCATTGCGGGGACGTATTCTAGGACTTTCTGCTATATATAGCTGCAAAGAAACAGACGTTCAAAAAAGAGGGAAGAATATAAGTAAGAAGAAGGGTGTCTTGATTTTTCAGACAGCGTTGCACAAGACAATTCTTCGTAGTTTTGTCTATAATTAAATGGATCAAGCTACCACAAACTATACCCCATAACCATACTTTATTTTACTAATACGCTATTTCCCAACATTCAATCATGATATAATAAAACTAGGGATCCAAGGATAGTGCAAAGTTTTCATGCCCTGTAATACCTAAGCAACCAGACGTTTTCCCAACACAAACATTTTGACTTATGCCAGTAAAAATATAATGAACTAGGTTAAACATTCAATGGAAACATCAAAAGGAAATTACTCAAAGTACTCAAGTTACGTTAGTCGCGGATACTGTCACTTTTAAATTATAACTTTAGTTGCTCATGTAAACCGGGCGCAATTTTCCCAGTTTAGTCTCTTTTCAAACAACTGTGAATACATTCACTACATTTATATGATGGCAACAGTTTATCCGTCATTTTATAAGTATAGCCGAAATAGTTGCGTTGTAAATAATGTAAATAAACCGCGGTGCATATTTATTTCTATGATGTGGATACTTTGACGCGTAAATCGATACAAAAAAATATACTTATAATCAATACTGTATACCGCCAAAATGATTTGATTACTGCACAAAATGTCCGTTTTGTATAGTATCATTTATGTACTGTATGCAGAACACCAGGTATCGACTTGCTATCGACATAATATATACTCGTGTAAGAGATCTATCAATACATAAACAACACAGCGTCGTTTCTTCCTAACCTCTTAGCTCTATTTACTGAATAAACCTTCCAAATTATATTTGTGCTGAATTGAATGCTCGTAATTCATAACAGTCATAAGATGATAAATTGCGTAGATTCTCAAAGAATTGCTCGATTTTTACGCCCGGAATGTTTTGAAGCAATGCTCGTCGCTCCTCGTTTCTTTATATCGTGAGACGTGAATATAAATGTTCAAGGCTCTACGGCACATGCGCAGTTGCGACGTATAAGAAAAAATCGGGTGTTCCCGGGGGCAATTCTGCGCAAATCCCTTTGAAACAAAACCAAACCGCGGAAAAGCAATGCTTCAAAATTTACAGTGACGGTCAAAATTCCTTAATATTTTGGTGAACTTAGCAAAAGGGATGTAGAGCATTAATAAATAAAGCAAGTTAAACTACTGATCATATACAAAAAGGTACTATACTCATGAATAAACTACCCCCCGTAAAGTTTACACTATGACTGACTGACTGACTCGTTTGAATTTTCGCCACTCATCACAATACTGCAAAGTTTCTCAAACTTTGCACTAAAAATCGTAAAAAAATCAAATATAGATACGTCTGCATCAGTCTGCGTGAGGAAATAGCCTCGCTGAAAATGACTGGCAAGAAAATACATTTTACCAATTCTTGCCACTTTGAACTTTCCTGAATAAAGCAACACATTTCCCCCTCATATCATACTACTAAATGAATTAATAATATGGATTTAAACATGTTTGGAAGACAAAACAAGCTGATTTAAATGCTTCACTCTACAAATTATGTTAAGCTCGTATACAAACAGTTTAAAAAGAAAACAGAAATTAAGAAAAACCCAAATTCTGCATTGCCATAGGTTTCTCGTTCTCGGCCCCAGTCTGCGGTTGATCAGTGGATGCACGGCGACGAGATCGTTTAATCATAAAGAACAAAGCACAAATAAGAACCAGACTGAGACACCCAAATCCAACTACGAAACCAATCAGTCTAGTGCTCACATCAGATTGACCTTAAAATTTGTTTACTTAATTAGTATCTTCTGCGTGCAGCGGGAAGAAAATGATACAGCTATTTGCAAGACACTGCAGTTAACCGTGAAATTTTTATCACATTTGTTTACATTTCAAACTTTTGGGTTTAACCGGAAACGTTAAACGTTAAACTATCAAAGGTCAAACTATTTTTCCATCAAAATTTCCTGGCTTCAATTTGAAAGTGTGCATAATAGACCTTTTTCACATTGACGTCAAACGTCAAACGGCGGAAAGACTGATCTTATACGAAGTTTAATTGGCTCGATAGTTTTGTGAAGCCAATCAAATTTCGTATAACATCAGACTTTCCACGTTTGTTGTCTTCGAAGTTGCAAACTTACCCTTTTGGCTCTTGTCAGTTGATTCCTTTCCATGCATAAATGGACCAAATGACAGCGCATATTTTTCTGATGTATCATCTGATGGTTTATCGGCAGCATCGCGACGAACTCGTCGCAGACATGAAGTACTTCGGGAGCAGACGGAATTAGAATCATATCTGTAACAGACAACAAGATCGCAGTGGAGGTAGACGAACCGATGTTGTGACAGAAAGCGAAAAGCCTGGATACTGAAACGTTGTACAGAACTCATCCCGTATGTATAATGGCGGATCGTTTCATCTTTATCACAACTAAAGCGAAAAAAGACAATACATTCCAATCAAGAAATGGCTTCACCTGCATCGGTTTATTTGAATTCAAATATATGTTCACTGATAATATTCCCAAGTCTAGATAGAATATTGTTGTTTAAAACAATAAAAACATTGATTTTTTTATCAATCTGAAACCCTGCATAGATGTTTCTACTTACCCGCCATAAATGAAGACATACTGTGGACTATCATAAGGTCTGTTCGTAGGTGTAGCTCTACACGTCTCTGCGCGCACGACAAGATCTGAGTTGCTCGTGTTTATAGAATATTGAATATAAAGATTATCTGACAACGACTTGGTAACTGGATAGTCTTGTGTAGTATACGAATCACGATAATTCGAACTTGTGAAAACATCCATTGACAAAGAGAAACTGCCTTTTCCACCTTGAAAGGAAGATTTTTGATTTACAAAGTATGTGGGAAAAGTAATCTTTCATTAGCAAGTTATTGTGGGTAAACTGTAAAGTGCTGAGATAAATACATGGAAGCAATAAGTTGCCCGTTAAAACTAGAAAATTGCTTCCAAAAAAGCGTAAATTAGTTACTGAATACTTTTTGTTACCGAAGCAATTCATTTTAACACTGACTTTTTACACAGAAGTTTCTGCGAAGGGGAGTGACTGAAGCTTGATATTTCGGAGAGGCGTACGTAATTAAAAAAACAGTTATGAATAATTGAAATAATAAGTAATATCATATAATCATATAATAATTGAAATAAGCAATAATTGAAATGTGACACGATCGCATTAGAGCCGGTTTAATTGTGACATATACTTACTCAGAACAACGAGCGTTCTTTCTTTTGCTGGGTCAAAACTGAAAGATCCAACAGTACGTTTTCGAGGATATGAACACGTCATGTTGGCTTTGAAGAGATAATTTTTTGTGATAACATCAGAGCCACTATAACTCTGTTCCACCTCAGAAAGAGTGTTGCTAAAATAGAGGGTTTGATCGTCTTTTGTGAACACTGTTCCACAACCAGTAAGCGAGGTTTTTACAATGACATGAGTTGAGTTATAGCTGGCTTTACAATATCGACTTCGAAGATACAGATTGTCGATGTTGACATGTTTCGGAAGATCTCCGCCATCAAATACAGCTGTCATGTAGTCTTTGTCACAAAACACTTGGAAATGAGATGCTGGAAAAACAAAAGTATAATCAACAGTGTTGTTGTCGTTGATAACATCACTACTATGCAGCTATGCATCTTAACTCTGCCACCATTCACTATCAGCACTGTAAACATGTCAGCATAAATCTCACCGTTGCATGTCTGTGAAGACATCTTTCCTGCAAGACTTTCTAGTTGAGAAGAACTTTTCAAAGTGATAACTTGTTGATCCACTGGATCTGATGCCATTTCTCTCAGTTCGTACATGGATAAACTCTGTCCAATCCCCACACTGAATATTACAACCCCATAGTTCTTCAGTTTCCGAGAAGGTCCGCTCACCTTCCAGTTACTATACCCGTCTGTCAAGATTACTAATACCTTTTTAAACTCTAAAATTGAGAAGCGTTTTTTTAGGTCGAAGGATGAACTAACATGCACAACCAAGCGTTATGTAAATAACTTCGTCAGGAGAGTAAGGCCTGATTCACATGCTTGTCCTAAGAATCAGAGATCAATTGATACAAGATACAAGATATTTATTTACCCATAATGTTTAAACAGAATTGTTACATCATCATAATAATTATAACATATTATAGGGTAATTGATGACCTCCTGAAATAACTATTAGGCTAAAAATACCAGGAGGCCACAAGAGATTTGGAACCATATACGTTACATATCATGTACTTTTACAAAATAAATTAACACAAAAACTGACAAAGTTACATAAATTATTAACACACCAAGTTTTTCTTTTTTTTTTTAAAGAATTCATAATTTTAGATAAAAAAAGAGCCTAATATTTACTTAAAAGCTCCATTTGTAGATTCTTTTTAAATTGATTTATGGAAAATAACTTTTTTATATTATCCTGAATTGAATTCCATACTTTTGGCCCTTTAAATCGGATATTAAAGAGACCATAATTTGTTCTTACTTTTGGAAGATAATAAGATTGTTTTACAGAAGATCGAGTTTCGTAGCTATGTACTTGACTGACTGCAGTAATAAATGTATTTAAGATAGGAGGAAGGAATTTATTATGGATTTTCATAATAAATAAAGCAATATGAAATGTGATAAGGTCATTAAACTTAATGATTTCCAATTTCTTAAATAAGGGACTTGAATGCTCATCAAAATTTGAAAACGTTATAATTCGTATCACTTTTTTCTGCAATATAACAAGTGGTTGAAGGTTTGTCTGATAAGTACAACCCCAAATGATCAGACCATATATTAAAAATTGATAAATTAAAGCATAGTAAAGGTTGGTAAGTATCTTTGTATCAACATAATATCTAAGTTTAGATAAAATTCCTATATTTCTTTTTATTTTTTTTGCAATATAATCAATTTGGGATTTGCAATTCAAATTAGAATCAATAAATATACCAAGATATTTTATACAATTTTCTCTTTTCAAGAGTTTATCGTGTATAATTAATTGTAAATCTGTATTTAATTTTTTTTAAGGGGGATGAAAAATGACAGATGAAAAATTGTTTTACTTTCCGACAGACAAAGGATTTTGCGCACTAGTGACCTCAGACAAAATGAGTCCCACAGGCTTTATTAAAAGAGCAAGTGTGCTTGTATACTACTAGGCGTTATAAATTACTAATCACTAGTATCCCTATCATACCATCATACAAAAAAATTATTTTGTTACTTGCACAAATTTCGGCTTTCGCTGCCATCGGATATATAGGGCCTCCAATCATGGAGATGATGTGACACGATGTGACAAGCGAATTATAATTTTTTTTAATTTGTGAAATTTGATACTTACCTGGTCCTCTGGCTCCATATCCTGACGTAAACATAGAATTATATGCCATGTTCAAAGCAATGCTGGTGGCAGTTCCTCCGCCTGTATATTGAATTCTATCCACGGAATTATCGAACTGGTTTTTATCAGAAAAGTATGTCGAAAAGCGAATATGAATGCTTGCAGAGCCTGCATACGACATCACAGAAACCCGGGTCTCTTCTTGGCTAATTTTATAGAAGTTTGTGAGATCTTTTACAAATCGTTTTATTCGTTCAAAGTTGGTGCTACCAACACTGCCAGAGCTGTCCAGTATAAAACCAAGATCCAACTTGTTTTGACATCGCGTGAAATCTCCTGAAGACACTGAAGAAACACAGGCTTAATAATATGTTAAAGATCTGCATGGTAGCCATTGTTTTATGGTAAATTTTTGACCGAAAAATGGTGGAAAATGACCGCCCCACTATACATACCTGTTGGCGATGGTTGAACCGAAGCGCTGGTTTGGTTCACTATAACCGAAAAGTAAGCTCAAAGTTAAAAGAAATCATCCTTCAAAACCTTGTGACATCTGGCGAGACAGGTGAGTTTCTCCGGTTATTATAGTTGTTTGTTAACTTCATACGAAAAACACGAGCGTAAGAATCATAGTATTAAATACCTAAGTCAGGCAATTCGTCAGTTGAGTCAAGGTCTCGCAAGGTGTGACGTCTGTCTCAAAATCGTCTACGTGCGGGTTTCCACTCTGAGACAGGTATCGAAAACCAAATATTACAAATGTATTGATTTGAATTAGCCTGTATACTTGAAGTCGAGAAATGATTTATGGAGCTGGAGGTTCCTGCACACAGCAATGAAAGAACACTTTTCAGTTGTTCAATAAATAGATCCTTTTGTTTTCCATTTTGAACTTATCCACCGTTTAAGCAAAACGCCTTTCCCTAATATCTTTATCATAAATTATGTATGCTAACCTCCATTGACTCCACATCGAACACCAGCGTCTTCACTGTGACCACAGTTGTGAATTCCCCATCCTCGATGACTGCATGAAAATAGCGATGACTCAGAACCTCTACAATCAACTTCATCAAGCCAAATCTGTCCAGTTCCATCGCTAACATTACGACCCTGATAAGCAGCTTTTGCATCTTGAAAACCAAGCTGTCTGCAGACAACACGAGCATCGTTCATGTCCCAACCATCATCACAAACTGTTCCCCATCTGCCGTTATAATAAACCTCCACTCGTCCTTCATTGTATGAACCATCAACAATTCTTACGTCTAAAAATCAACCCAAATTTGAACGATAAACGACAAAAGCATGAGCTGAGAAAAGAGAAGAAAAAGGGAAAAAGATCCCAAAAATTTTTTTACATCCAGGATGCGAAAGATTTAGTTACGTCAGTAACGTTTAGCTTATCATTCGACCAAAAATGAAAACAGCAATGGGGCCGGTTGTATAAAAAGGTAGTTAACTTTTAACTATAGTTAGTGGCAGATTTGGAGTTAACTACGATTTAACTATTCAAAATGTAATTACCACAACCAGCCACACAACCAGAAAAAAACAAATCTATTGAATGACTGTAATCTTCATCACTTCCATCGTAACAATCATAACGACCGTTACAGTAAGAATTTGACCGAAAAATGGTGGAAAATGACCGCCCTACTTTACATACCTGTTGGCGATGGTTGAACCGGAGCGCTGGTTTGGTTCACTATAACCGAAAAGTAAGCTCAAAGTTAAAAGAAATCATCCTTCAAAACCTTGTGACATCTGGCGAGACAGGTGAGTTTCTCCGGTTATTATAGTTATTTGTTAACTTTATACGAAAAACACGAGCGTAAGAATCATAGTAATATCTAAGTCAGGCAATTCGTCAGTTGAGTCAAGGTCTCGCAAGGTGTGACGTCTGTCTCAAAATCGTCTGCGTGCGGTCATAAAATATCCCAAAGTAAAGTGGGATTCAGCAGAGTTGATCTTATCATTTTTATGTTGCATGTAGAAAATTAATTTACTCACGCAAGTTAAAATAAACTGCATATTCCAGTGAAAATTGTGTAGCTAAAAAGAATTGAAAGAGAGAAAACAAACCTCTTAGGGGCTGTTTACATGACCCCGGTTACCCGAGATTCAGCGAAGCGTGAGATGATTTTGAGGTATTAAAATGAGCAGATAACATGATCCTGGTAGTCGTATAATCACCACAACAATAGCATGTGATTGTTTGGTGTCATAAAGACTTATTTCAATACCTCAAAGTCCTCTCACGCTTCGTTGAATCTCGGGTAACTGGGCTCATGTAAACAGCCCCTTAGAAAATCTATAGTTTGCTTGTTTAATAGTTAACCTGCACCGTAGAACGAGAACGAACGAGTAGCCTCATTAACTGAACGAGAGTACGGTTCACAATCGTTCAAATAGATAGTTTCTATTGGCTAAAACAAGTTTATTATCATATTTGTTTGTAAACTTTAAGCCATAGCATGCATATTTTGGTCAGGTAATTTTGTGTTGTGATATCGTCTATATTATACGGTTACAACAGGGGGCATGCAACAAGATGACGATGATTGATGAACTGTAATGGTAACATCCCAAACTGAGGAATAACTAAGTTGAATAATATTATATATAGAACCCTGAGTATTTTACCGAAGTCGTCGATTCGTAAACTCAATTGAATTTTATAGTTACAGGTCGTGTTAAGTAGCCTCAATGCAATTATTACAACAATTCTTAAGCATTTCTTCATGTGTTTTAAGACATTTGCATATACGTGTATTTATATCAAATTCCAGGTGGATTTGCAATTGTGCGAACTACGAATGAGCTGTTTGAAAAAGCATGGCAGACGACGTGGAGGTTTTAAACATAGTGCTATTAAATTTGCACAACGCCGTTCAGGCAATATATTCAATGGAAGGAAGAGCAGACAAGCGAGATCGAAGCGACTGACGACAATTATTTGACTACGTTAGTCGCCTGTATAATGCAACTATATGATTTGTCTGCTATAATAGCAACGTGCACTCAAGCTATTTTACCAACAGCTCGTATTGAACAGATTCTTTCTCCAGATTTTTTCGGTTCAAACTTCCCGGGAAGGGATTTCTATAGTGAATTGGAAAGGTGTGCACACTTGTTCTGAACTATGACGGGCAATAGCGTAGAATAATTTAGACGCATCGTTCAAAAAATGATCAAATTCGTCGTTATTTGTAGTAGCCTATAGAATGTATCTATAGAAATCAAATGCCTTTACTAAATAGTTCTTTGCTCTCTTACAATGAAATCAAGAAGCCTTCGTCTCACTGCACGCCGATTTCCAACATTTGCATATGGGTTCTGAACGTTATCAGGAAGTTCGGCAAATCTATCATGCCTTGCAATATCGTTTGCAATGACGTCCCAAATGGGACCATTCTCCATATACCGCTCATGAATTAATCGTCTTTCAACCTCACCTATGCGTCTTACTTGTCTTGCATTCATTTTTAAAAAAGTTAAAGAAATCCGGCCGCGAGCGATTTCAAAAAGATTGTCTTGCACAATGCAGCAAATAATTTAACTATCGTAATATAGCAGTTACTGCTGATTTGCATTTAAGTTTACTGTGACTATGGAACTTATTATGATCCTGGGGTTTGAATATACGTTTTAACTGGCATGTTATGGAAATTACAATAATATCACAAAGTCGAGTTAAACTTAACGCTAAATAGTTTCTATCACATGAAATTCATTTCTGTTATGATCACCTATTAGGTTCAAATAAAAAATGTGATGAAATTACAATTCTTTAGGCGTTTTCATGCAGTTACAAGATGTGAGATTTTTACGTGCGCATGCATGTGTATTGCATATCCCCAAATATATATCTAATGGTAATACATGTATGTGTGTATCTTCTTTACGGCCTTAAGTTAAGACTATCTTCCTTGATTGAATTAGCCGAAATGTAGTTTTTCTATCAGCACAACGACAGAAAAAAATATACAAGCATTACAATACGGTTGAAAACATGTTTAGTACAAGCAAGCGACTTTTTGTCGTTCATTCGTTCGTCGCTTTCGTCCATGTTTAAATATGCAAACCAATCAGCTTTTCGTAATTTCAATGAAAACATTAGCATACTTGCATATTCGTTCTCGTTTTACGGTGCAGGTTAACTAATAAAACGATAGATTTGCTTTCTATTTTGAGCTTAACCATGCACCGTTCAAGCTAAACGGGCTTGATACAACCGGCCCGTGGAGTATTGTTTTAAAACCCAATGTGAAAAACAAACCTCTTGAATGACAGTAACTTCATCACTTCCATGATAACAATCATAACGACCGTTACAGTAAGAATTTGACCGAAAAATGGTAGAAAATGACCGCCCCACTTTACATACCTATTGGCGATGGTTGAACCGGAGCGCTGGTTTGGTTCACTACAACGGAAAAGTAAGCTCAAAGTTAAAAGAAATCATCCTTCAAAACCTTGTGACATCTGGCGAGACAGGTGAGTTTCTCCGGTTATTATAGTTATTTGTTAACTTCATACGAAAAACACGAGCGTAAGAATCATAGTAATACCTAAGTCGGGCAATTCGTCAGTTGAGTCAAGGTCTCGCAAGGTGTGACGTCTGTCTTAAAATCGTCTGCGTGCGGGTTTCCACTCTGAGACAGTTGTTTAATAAATAGATAATTTTGTTTACCATTTTGAACTTATCCACCTTAAACCGCGGTTTAAGCAAAACGCCTTTCCCTAATATCTTTATCATAAATTATATATTCTCACCTCCATTAACTCTACATCGAACACCAGCGTCTTCACTGTGACCACAGTTGTGATTTCCCCATCCTCGATGACTGCATAAAAATAGCGACGACTCAGAACCTCTACAATTAACATTATCAAGCCAAATCTGTCCGGTTCCATCGCGAACATTACTACCCTGATAAGCAGCTTCTGCATCATGAAAACCAAGCTGTCTGCAGACAACACGAGCATCGTTCATGTCCCAACCATCATCACAAACTGTTCCCCATGTGCCGTTATAATAAACCTCCACTCGTCCTTCATTGTATGAACCATCAACAATTCTTACGTCTAAAAATCAACCCAAATTTGAACGATAAACGACAAAAGCATGAACTGAGAAAAGAGAAGAAAAAGGGAGAAAGATCCCAAAAATTTTTTTTACATCCAGGATGCGAAAGATTTAGTAACGTCAGTAACGTTTAGCTTATCATTCGAACAAAAATGAAAACAGCAATGGGGCCGGTTGTATAAAAAGGTAGTTAACTTTTAACTATAGTTAGTGGCAGATTTGGAGTTAACTACGATTTAACTATTCAAAATGTAATAACCACAACCAGCCCCACAACCAGAAAAAACAAATCTCCTCAATGACAGTAACCTTCATCACTTCCATCGTAACAATCATAACGACCGTTACAGTAAGAATTTGACCGAAAAATGGTGGAAAATGACCGCCCCACTATACATACCTGTTAGCGATGGTTGAACCGGAGCGCTGGTTTGGTTCACTACAACGGAAAAGTAAGCTCAAAGTTAAAAGAAATCATCCTTCAAAACCTTGTGACATCTGGCGAGACAGGTGAGTTTCTCCGCTTATTATAGTTATTTGTTAGCTTCATACGAAAAACACGAGCGTAAGAATCATAGTAATACCTAAGTAGGGCAATTCGTCAGTTGAGTCAAGGTCTCGCAAGGTGTGACGTCTGTCTCAAAATCGTCTGCGTGCGGTCATAAAATATCCCAAAGTAAAGTGGGATTCAGCAGAGTTGATCTTATCATTTTTATGTTGCATGTAATGAAATAAACTGTAAATTCCAGTAAAAAATGTGTAGCTAAAAAGAATTGAAAGAGGGAAAACAAACCTCTTAGAAAATCTATAGTTTGCTTGTTTAATAAAACGATAGATTTGCTTTCTATTTTGAGCTTAACCACCGTTCATGTTAAACGGGCTCGATACAACCGGCCCGTGGAGTATAGTTCTAAAACCCAAAGTGAAAAAACAAACCCCTTGAATGACAGTTATCTTCATCACTTCCATCGTAACAATCATAACGACCGTTACAGTAAGAATTTGAATTAACACACTGGCCACTTCTACATCGGTAATCATTGTAGCGACATGGCAAATGTTCATGTATGGATGAAGACGTCATTGGATAATGTTCTATATGGAAGAGTTCGAATTAATACATCTTTGCATTGTAGCCATTTTTTGATTGTAAATTTTTGACCGCAAAAGTTGTGGAATATGTCCGCCCCTGTACATACCTGCTGACGATGGTTGAATCAAAGCGCTGGTCTGGATTGCTATATATAATATTTAATGATAGCAACAGTTGGTAGAGTAATCTTTCGTTAATTTTCGTTACAATTAGTACATGCAGTATATAAGGTTTAATATCAATGCGTACTAGACACACCACATTTCCACGACGATACATGACGAATGGGCGTGGAAATGTGGTGTATCTAGTATGATTCATCACTTCCATCAGAGCAATCCCACCGACCATTACAAAAATAATATCGATCAACACATTGGTAACCATTATTACATCTGAACTCTTAAAATTGATCAATTTCCACTCTGAGACAGGTATCGAAAACCAAATATTACAAATGTATTGATTTGAATTACCTTGTATACTTGAAGTCGAGAAATGATTTATGGAGCTGGAGGTTCCTGCACACAGCAATGAAAGAACACTTTTCAGTTGTTTAATAAATAGATAATTTTGTTTATCATTTTGAACTTATCCACCGTTTAAGCAAAACGCCTTTTCCTAATATCTTTATCATAAATTATAAATGCTCACCTCCATTATTGACTCCACATCGAACACCAGCGTCTTCACTGTGACCACAGTTGTGAATTCCCCATCCTCGATGACTGCATGAAAATAGCGATGACTCAGAACCTCTACAATAAACATCATCAAGCCAAATCTGTCCGGTTCCATCGCGAACATTACTACCCTGATAAGCAGCTTCTGCGTCTTGAAAACCAAGCTGTCTGCAGACAACACGAGCATCGTTCATGTCCCAATTATCATCACAAATTGTTCCCCATGTGCCGTTATAATAAACCTCCACTCGTCCTTCATTGTATGAACCATCAACAATTCTTACGTCTAAAAATCAACCCAAATTTGAACGATAAACGACAAAAGCATGAACTGAGAAAAGAGAAGAAAAAGGGAGAAATATCCCAAAAAATTTTTTTACATCCAGGATGCGAAAGATTTAGTTACATCAGTAACGTTAAGCTTATCATTCGACAAAAAATGAAAACAGCAATGGGGCCGGTTGTATAAAAAGGTAGTCAACTTTTAACTATAGTTAGTGGCAGATTTGGAATTAACTACCATTTATATATAACTATTCAAAATGTAATTACCACAACCAGCTCCACAACCAGAAAAAAAAACCTCTTGAATGACAATAATCTTCATCACTTCCATCGTAACAATCATAACGACCGTTACAGTAAGAATTTGACCGAAAAATGGTGGAAAATGACCGCCCCACTATACATACCTGTTGGCGATGGTTGAACCGGAGCGCTGGTTTGGTTCACTATAACCGAAAAGTAAGCTCAAAGTTAAAAGAAATCATCCTTCAAAACCTTGTGACATCTGGCGAGACAGGTGAGTTTCTCCGGTTATTATAGTTATTTGTTAACTTCATACGAAAAACACGAGCGTAAAAATCATAGTAATAGCTAAGTCGGGCAATTCGTCAGTTGAGTTAAGGTCTCGCAAGGTGTGACGTCTGTCTCAAAATCGTCTGCGTGCGGGTTTCCACTCTGAGACAGGTATCGGAAACCAAATATTACAAATGTATTGATTTGAATTAGCTTGTATACTTGAAGTCGAGAAATGATTTATGGAGCTGGAGGTTCCTGCACACAGCAATGAAAGAACACTTTTCAGTTGTTTAATAAATAGATAATTTTGTTTATCATTTTGAATTTATCCACCGTTTAAGCAAAACGCCTTTTCCTAATATCTTTATCATAAATTATAAATGCTCACCTCCATTATTGACTCCACATCGAACACCAGCGTCTTCACTGTGACCACAGTTGTGAATTCCCCATCCTCGATGACTGCATGAAAATAGCGATGACTCAGAACCTCTACAATAAACATCATCAAGCCAAATCTGTCCGGTTCCATCGCGAACATTATCACCCTTATAAGCAGCTTCTGCATCTTGAAAACCAAGCTGTCTGCAGACAACACGAGCATCGCACATGTCCCAATTATCATCACAAACTGTTCCCCATGTGCCGTTATAATAAACCTCCACTCGTCCTTCATTGTATGAACCATCAACAATTCTTACGTCTAAAAATCAACCCAAATTTGAACGATAAACGACAAAAGCATGAACTGAGAAAAGAGAAGAAAAAGGGAGAAAGATCCCAAAAATTATTTTTACATCCAGGATGCGAAAGATTTAGTTACATCAGTAACGTTGAGCTTATCATTCGACCAAAAATGAAAACAGCAATGGGGCCGGTTATATAAAAAGGTAGTTAAATTTTAACTATAGTTAGTGGCAGATTTGGAGTTAACTACGATTTAACTATTCAAAATGTAATAACCACAACCAGCCCCACAACCAGAAAAAAACCAACCTTTTGAATGACAGTAATGTTCATCACTTCCATCATAACAATCATAACGACCGTTACAGTAAGAATATGAAATTATACACTGGTAGCCATTTCTACATCGGTAATCAGTGTAGTTACATTGTATAGAAGACGTCATCGGATATTGTCCTATATGTAAAGGATAAAAAATACTTTTTTTACTGAGAAGTTTTTATGAGAATTTGAAAGAGGGAGACATGTAAAATTTTCCGTAAAATTTTTGAAATATAAAATTTTCGACGTCTCAGTGACTGCTCTTATCTAACTAACGTCAAAACTAAATATTAGAATAAAGCAAGGTTTGAATCGTGGCAACTCTATTTCTAACAGACAATGTAATAATGATATTAACAAAGCATCATGGAGCTGTTATGGGCGACGAGCTACTTCTTTATGTTCAAAAAACCGTCCCTTTGCTTCAACTCCACTTTCGCCATATAGGCAGTCGTTTATTTAAAATCAATTAGCCTTTCTCACGATGACCTTATTTGGGTACTTTCAATTTTCTCAAATGGGTTAAAAAAATTAGAACGACATGAAAGCAATTTTTTTAGAATGAACAAACCATTTGAAGAGTAAATTCAGCCAAAAATAAAGATAGTGGCCGTTACATGTACAAGGTCGTACGCTCTTGGTTTTGAAGAAAAGTACCCCAAAATAACGGCATATTCGTCATCGTGAGAAAGGCTAATTGAGTCCGCTCTGATTAACAGCACGGCATCAATTAGGTCTGACGCCAGCCAATGAGAGCGTAGCGGAACATGAAACCTTGGACTACTCGCATTTGCGTGTACTTTTACGTTTGTGCGAAGGCTAGGTGATGGATATAATAGCCAATAGCTTTTTTAATCTTATTCCTGATCAGTGAGTACGAGAGTAGTTATTAAGCTACATGTCTTGAAATACGTTCTTGGAAGACAGCTAAGAAGAAATTCTTGGAAGGAAACTATGTCATCAAAGGTGGTTTATCATCAACTGATCAAAAAATATAGGAAACTTCTTCATCTTAAATCTTGTGCATGCCCTGCTGGAAATCCAACGAATCCCCGGAACCTAATCATAATTTTGGGCATGTGCCAGTCGGGTTTAAACAGTTCAGAATCCGTTGTCGTTTAACAAAATTAGGAGTTCTGTTCGTTTTCGACTGGACTAGATTTAATTGGTCAGAAACAAAAGTTGCTTTCTCGAAATTTTGCCAAAATCCTTTTTCCACAAAATCGTTTGATAACAAACTCGTCTCAATCGGTTCGCGCATGTGCAATTCTAAATTATTAGCGTCGTATTTACGCTACTTTCTAAACAGTAAAAACATGCATCAGTATCTTTTGAACTTACTGACGGGACGATTTAAAGACAACTGGAATTACTATTAGAATATACACATGCATTAGCAACAAAGCTAGAACAAACACTCACCACTGGGTGTTGCTTGAAAAGAAGGTGAGGATGGTGTATGCCACCATGCCACTACTTGCGACACGCACATCATCAGTGCGCAAAACGGAATAAATCGCGACATTTTCCAAAGTTCCCGCAACAGTTATAGGTCCGCTTTTGATTTCTTTTTTTTACAACGATGACGACTCGATGGCGCAATGTTTAGATGATCACGCTAAATAATATAATAGTGGAATGATTTAAGTTATTTTTTTGTTAAACAAAAATGCTATCACGAAAATGCCATGCATTATTTTCTTAAAAGTTATTTCATGTTTTATCTCGCGGCAGCTAAAGCCTGGTTCTTGTGACGAAGAAAATTTATTCGAAATAACAAAGCACTTCATGGGTTAGTTAAATGACAATAGGTATCCATTTCGCGAAATTTAACAAAATTTTAGCAGAACTTAAAAGACATGCAGAATGTTATTTTTGAAAGCTTCTGGACCGTTGACACTCACGGCGGTTATGTTACGCAGCCCTCTCTCTTTCAGCTAAGTTGTGAGGTTTACTTCGAAATAAATCCAAGATTGTCATCATGCGAGAAAACTGTTGGATTGAATTTTTTTATTTTGCACGATCACAATTCATATCCCTATTTTAATGAATAAAAATTAATTTCAAAAGTCTTAGCGACACAAACAAAGCACATGCTATTGACCGTCATGTTATATACTCATTACAAGAGTTAAGCGCAGGATCATGTAAAAGCCCCTAATGACAACCATGCAGGTTTTAATGCGTTTGGCGAGAAGTCAAGCGACGGCCTAACTTGATGCAATTTAAATTTTGAAGGAATTATAAACAAAAAAAAAGAAATACAGTTTCACAACAGGAAGAAAAATCGCCTTAAGTAAAAAATATATATCTATTACAATATCTATTACTAGCCTCCTCCGCAGGCATCTCTTATGTGTTAAATTTGTTAGGCCAAATATGCATATTTTTAGTACATAAGAGATTCCCGCGGGCCGCGGAGGAATCTATCACTTACTCCGCTCCTCATGCTAATCTGCCTATTGTTAATTCCAGGGGGGAGTCACACATTCTAAATCACTGTTCTAATATACCTCTAATATGACAGTTGCAAAAACATGGCGGATTATGAAACTAAAACAAAACAAAACGCAATCTCTAAGTAAACAAAACTTGTCTTTGTATGGGATAACATGTTAATAACCACATCTAAAAACAGGAACATTTGTAAACATGGAAGGATTATGTCCTAAAGTAATACTGCTAGAAGAATCGGAAAAAGCACAGCAGGTTTATGTACAAAAAGCAAATGATCAATGCAGTAACTGGGTGAACTTTGAGGAAGTTGATAATATGTCTTTGCGGAACGAAAGACCTTGTAATAACGCTTCTAAACGTCAAATCCCCTCAAGCATAACAACGAAAGGTTTAATACCAACTAATCGCCGATTTTCTTCTTCAAACTGGACGTATAGTCTAAGAAATTTTATCGATCCAAAGTTTGAGCATTTTTTAGATTCGTCTTGTTATATTCAGCAGTACAGACATGCAAAACGAACAAGAATTGAAGAGAAACTTGCCGGCTTAATGCAAAGTAGAGAAAAAAGATTAACACATGAGAGAGGAAACAGTCATGCTGAAAAGAATGCCCAAAGTATTGCAATGATGTCAGCAGAGCAGGATACAAATAGCTGTTCCAAAAAAGAACCAACATGTGGTTTAAACGAAGACCGTTGTAGGAAACAATCAGTTCCAGTTAAACCTTCTTTACCTCAGTCTGGATATTTTGCTGGAAGAAAGTGGGTTTATCCAAGAGATTATTCACAGGGATCCAACAAAAATATTGGTGTCAAATGGTATATAAATATATACTTACTAAAAGCAGTTTCTTCAAAGCTATAATTAAAACTATTAAGTACAATAAAGTACATTCATTAAATTTTATTGTATTTTAACACTATCTTAACATCAGGTATGCAGGGACATGGGGTATAAAATACGTACCCCTAGCTCAGAGGAGACCTAAGTGTAAGGAGTATGGCAGGTGAAAGTAATCCCATGATCACCCTGTATTCCCAAATGATTAACATGAATAAGTATATACCAGTTTGATATGAAGTCAGTAAAAAACTAAGCGAGAAAATCTAGGAACAGGACTGTAATGATTTACTCTGATATTATTTTACTTCAGTTGTACATCAAAACACTAGCTCACTTGTACTTTATAATTATATTTGTAGTGGAGACACACGGATGTCACAGTCTAAAACAGCAAATAAACAGGTAGAGTAACACAACTGCTACCGATTGGTTGTGTGAAGACTAGATAGAGTACTATGACTAACCATCCACCAGATACTGATTTTTTCAATAGTTGTGAACAAGCCTGAAAACATGGCTTCTCGTGAAACCTAAGAATTACTGATTTGTTATCAACTAATTGTCTGGCAGAATTTAACTTGGGCATCAGTGGGCTTCATGACATGCTTTTAAAGCAAGAACCTTCAAGTCTGAGCCAAACTCAACTCATACAATGTATGTCACAATTTACTGTATGTATTTCCGTTTTTTAGGTGAACAGTATTTCAAGAAATATGTTTCTGCGAGGCACAGGTAAGCCTTTGAATATTTCTTCAAATAAAAATTGGATACCTCGGTACAGAACAGTGTGCAAGTCTGCACCAGCCAGTCGACAAAAGCAGCCAGAGTATAGCAAACCAGACACAACCCAGGTCCAAACCATCAAAACACCTGCTCGAAGTGACTCATTAACTCATGCAAACCTCAGTGCATTGTTGGAGAGACATTCAAGTGATACAACTACTCAACTGAGATCGTCATTCCAAACTTCGCCTGTTCAACAATCTTATGCTCAGGTGAAAACGAAGAAAAACTCTGTTGAGTCAAATAGTGATGCTAATAGACTAGAGTACGAGAAGATATTTAGAAATGTTTTTGATTTTTATGAGCAGAATTCAGCTGAGAAGAGGTCTCATTTGTATATTAACATTGGAACATATTAAGCTTTTAAATATTGTAATATAATATAGGGTATATTAGCTGACTAATTTTAAAACGTTTCTAAGGAAATAAATTTGTATTCTTGGCTTTGGTGTGACCTTGTACAGTAGATTTTAGAGGTGGTAAACTCAAAATCAAAACTTGGCAATCGAAGTGAGTTAGTTTTTCATTGTATATGTTAGCAGTTTGCTTTGTGTTAGTTGCAATGGTTCATCAATCAGAATGAATGATGTCAATCAGAAATACAGTAAATGCCAACACACTTTTTTGCAAACTAATACTGTATACTTCCTGTTTGTATTTATATACGTTGGACTGGTCACTATGCCTTGTGCGATTACGAGACAAAGATTACCACGCATGTCCAAATTCATAACATGTTTTCGAGGATTTTTTTATGCATAAAGACGCTTGCAGAGAATTCTGATTTTTGTAGTCAAGGCGAAAAATTCAAACTTCAAAAATTCCCGCCGTGACTACTAAGACCAGAACTCCTTGCAGGTGACACGGCTTGTTACGTCATTATGCATAAGCTCAATTGATGAACGTAATGCGACGCATTGAACTTATCATCGCATGCAGTCCAGTTACATAGAGAGCTCGTAGTTTAACCTTCTAACCTATACTGTTAACCTATTCGTTCACAGAGCAACCAAGCATTACCCCCTACATGTACCATTTTCACGTCTAATCACCCCCAAGTAAGATTTAGTCAGCCAAGCACTGCAGGCCTTTTTTATAGAACTAATAAAAGCGAGGCTGACTTCGTCTATCCATTGCTTTGTCCTGCCTAACGTTGACCTAAAATTTACGTATTTACTAGAATATGTTTCACACAACCTAAAACTAAAAATGAACTTCTGCTTTGCAGAAAAATTGCTCATAATCCTACAGTTAGATCCTGCATGCACATTTTTTAACCACCAGACTACTCTAACCTGTGACGATGTCGGGGGACATCGTCGTTACGCTGCCATTCGGTGTCCTATATTCAATTTTTGGTGTCGTTTTGTCTCGTCGGTAATAGCTCAACAGAGCCGGCGTGATTTTTCAACCTGAATTACGATTCCTGATAAAAAATAAGCTATAGTAGTAATATATTCTCAATGCTCGTTCCACCGGACAATACCTTTGCTGACTGAGTATGGATTCACTATGGGGATAAGGTAAGGCTTTGTGTAAGCAATTATTTTGGTTCTCTATAAAGCGTTCGCTGAAGATATACTCCCTTCTCCAATACTCAGAAAGGGATACATTGATGTGGTGGTGGCAGAAGTCAAATATAGATTGTGGAAAGCTAAGGGGAATCCGTGAAGTTGTTACTAGCGTGGAAGACAGCACCTAACCGCTGTATATAGGAGGATCCTGGGTAGCGGAAGATGGGAAGTTGGCGGTGGTTAACAAAGCTGAGGTGCATGCGGGCGGCCGGGGTAGAAAGTTGAAATGCTTCAGTGTATATCGGAAATGTGTGAAAATTTCTACCGTCTCAGGCAAAAGCGTTATAATTTTCATTGCTTTAAACAAAGCGTAACAACTTTTACGGCTCCAACGAAAGCGTAAATCGCCTTCATGCACAACCGCTTCTTCAAAAGCGTAATAACTTCCCACTGCTCCAACAAGAGCATATATCGCTTCAAACAAAAGCGGCGTCATAACTTTCACTGCGTGTTTTAGGCCAAGGTTTAATAACTTTCCACCGTTTCACGAAGCGTAAATAAATTCCAAATAAGGCTGCAAACAAAAGTAATAACTCTGCAGTTTTCACCGCTTCGACAAAAGCGTAAATAACTCAATCGCGCTTTCTCAAGAGCGTAATTAAGAAACTTTCACCGCTTCTGCAAAAGCGTAATAATTTTCACCGTTTTAACAAAAGCGTAATAAACTTTCACCGTTTCAACAAAAGCGTAATAATACTAATAACTTTCCATTGCTCCAACAAAGAGTAATTCAACGCCAGATGCACCACTAATAAGCATGCATAACTTGAAAGCGTCACGCAAACTTTATTGCCATTGGCGTTGCTAATTTTTCAAAGACGTTAAAATGTTGTAATCCGCTGCAGAACTGGGCGTAGGGCGTAGAGTCACCCCGTGACGTGGGAAGTCTTAACTGATCGAGCCATAAACTCCAAATATATATTTGTAAACGTTGGTTATAGTCTTACTTAAAAGCGGCAAAGTAGGAAGTATAAAAATTCTATACAGTTGTCAATAGTCGTATACAAAAGTAATTAAATGCTGCGATGGACCCAAGGCTTTTAAATGAAACGCAATAACAATAAGGATTAGGAAGGGCGTGTAACTGGCCATTAAGTCTGACAGTATTCTTTCCGAGCCAGAAAATAGATTTATTTTAGGTAGCGGTGGACGCAAAGGTGACCTAACGGACATCACGACGTGTATCTCATGCACCGGCCCTAAACACGAGGAACCCGTCGTACTATAAGGCTTTATTTCCTAAGAGTACCTTTCTCGTTACACAGAAGCCGGGAAGGAAAACCAAGTGTGCATCTTCAGTAAATCGGTATACAAGGTAAACGAAAGGTGAAGGGGAAACGAGAACCCTGACCGAAGCAAAATAAATTTAAAAACCTGAACTTGGGTGGCGGTGATCTTGTTGGCCCGTGTCTAAAGGTATGCGTAAGCAATTGCTTGATCTTCTTCTTCTCTGATTGGGGTCAGCCAAACAGAATCGTTTTTCCTGCAGTAGGTCTGACATGCAGGTCCATCGCTAAGAGCTCGGCTGTGACACTTGTAATAGGAAACGAAAAACTCCCTTCTCCGCAGGTCAGCTGGCTCCGTGGCAAAATGTGAAAAATACTGTTTATTATGCCTTTCACATCAACCTAATTCACTGAAGCGATCACCTTAATGACATCTAATGGTATTGGTATTGTTTGGTGAAACTCACAGTGAGAATATAGCAAAAGTAGTGTTTGATATAAACATTGATTTCAAGAAAGTTTCTTCAATAAGACTGCTTCATTATGTTAGCTATAAGGGAACGATTATTATGTTGAGAGGACGCACGAAGCCTGATCAAGCGTTTCAGTTAGCTATTTTGTGAATAAAATAGACAGAAAAACATAACTTACCTGTTCAATTTATGCAGCGACAAGTGTAGAAGAGTAGCTTTGGTTTCCTGTCTCTTCAAACGCGAGCCACCTCGGACAATTTCTTCTCAATAATTTTTGGTTGCGAATATCTTAATTTTGCAATTGCCCACAACGGTTCTTTTAGCTTGGCTTTAAAACTTTACCTGACAGAGTTGGAGGTAACGTCTTCAGGTCGATTGAACTCTGTGTAAGATGAATAATAAAGTTAGTGATATAAGAAAATTTGCAAATTGAACACAAGTTGAGCAGGTACACCAGTCTTCCAGGGGAATTACGCGAGATCGGAAATTGGACATCGTAGCGAAAATAATCGCCCATATCCGTCGATAAAGCAAGCAGATAATCGTAAAACAACAAGCAATAATACCTGTTATGACAGTAATGACCGAGAGGCAGAGATAATAATCGCCTTTTCTGTAATATTTAAGAATGATTTAAATCGATATATTCTGGCGTAAAGTGATCTTCCTTTACCTAGCTGTGAAGACCAATGCTCCAATGATTTCTCGTTTCAGAATTCACACCCGCTCCTTGTGTTAGAAATAAAATACACTGCAATGCTATTGGCTAAACACACCCGGCATGATCGCTCAGCAAATGCTTCTGATTGGATGATCTTATAATATAATTTTCCTGAGAGTCGGGAATGCATGATCATCAGAAATAACATTAGCAATGAAACCTTTTGAAATTTTTCATGCATATTGTTCCAGACGTAGTGTTTCTCACCAAACTGAACGACACGTCCGTATCTTTTGCAAAATCCCCGTTGTCTCATAGCATCTGCAGAAGAATTTTAGTTTTCTGGAAATTTAAAATAGCTTTATATGTATTCATGAAGCATGTACATTGATAGAAATTAAAGTGCAGAAAACTAGTAATTCGTCATGCCTGCGTCCTGCTCCTTTTAAAATTCGCATATTCCTTGGAGAATATTTGCCAAATGATATTTTGTACAAAAACAAAGCTGATTTCCTGAGAAACCCGAGATTGCGTTTTATACATGCACTATGTACAGTTACTTGCTAATGCGTTTGGCCACCTGTTACCTGTGAACTATCAAATAAATTGGAAGATAGCGGTGTCTCAGTAAAATACTATCATTACACATTGATTATGCTTTCTGAATTTGAATATTATCAACTGTAATCAGTTGAAAGTAAATCAATAAAATCTTATATCAACACATAACTATGCGCACACGAGAGTAACTTGCTGAGATAACAGCCACGCTAATAGCTCTCGTGTGGCGGCGGGCTTTAGTTCAGATGTTTTTTCGCTAAGTTTCTACAATTATTTGCATAATTCACTCGTCATGCTACAATTGTTTGCATAATACGCTAGAATGAGAATTGTTGAAAAAAATGTAGTCCCAACTTAATTAAAAAAGTAATAAATATATTGTACTTGAAACTACTCAGCCTCGTTCCCAGGCTATTTAAAGTACCTCGCGGAGGTACTACGTGCGCGGGGGTGCTTGGGGAGGTTGCAAGAAGTCTTCGCGTCTCCAGCTGCGAAGATGCATGGACATTCGTTGAACAAAAGTTTATTGAAAGCTAGTAGCAGCCCTAAGCTCAAAACCGGATGCTACAACCGAACTGCTGTAAAAATTATATTCACTCACATGCAAATTATTTTATTTACACATGCAACATAAATTAAACTATATGGTAGGCCTTAATGCGACGTCTAATATGTAAATTAAACTTATCATCGCATGCAGTCCAGTGTACATATAGAGAGCTCGCTTTAGAGAGCTTTCTACAAAAAATCCATGCGACACGCATGATATGCAAAGTTTATTGAAAATATAGTCTCATTACACAGATTGTTCTTAACGAGCAAGTATTGCCTACGGAGTAGCTGCTACAATTTAAAGCGGTGAACCAGTCGTGAAGTAAATATCTTTTAAGGGTGCAAAAAGGATTCATTTAATTATTCCAGAAACAATGCCA